TAGGATCATCTTTTATGCAAATTTGTCTCAAGCACAAAATCTCATTATACATATGTAATGACATGACTTCTTGATATAAAGTGTTAGTTTTAAGCTTTCAATCTGCCAAAGCACTTACCTGTTTTGAAAGTGTTTTACTATATCAAAGACTCATTTTTTTTAAATTGCTAATTTATTCATTTTATTTTATTTAGTAAAAATACAAGTTTAATTGGGGGAAAATAACTGAGAAGTAGTGATGGAAAGATTGGAACAACTCTGTTGTTGAATCTCTATCAGCAAAATGAACTCCTTATTAAAAACATGTTGTTCAATGAATGCAATTAAACGGTGCAAATTAAATAGCCAAATTCCCTATCCCCTGATCATTGATCATTTTTCAAATAAGTAAATCATTATAATGCAGCCAAAAGATATATTATGAGAAACGCAAATGATTAGTTCGCCTCCAAAGAATTTCATTCATGACGTGACAGACGCTATGAATGAATCATTCATGAAAAAACAATGACTAGAGATATGAAAAGGGGCAACAAGGAAGCGAAAGAGTTTTTAAGGACAGATGTTTAATAAAACATGTCCCTCATGCAATTTGTTAAGCTATTTGACCTGGGTGACCTATATTATACCTATATTGGCAGTGTCATCACATGCCTGACCTGCAGATCCCTATGAAACTAGAAAGCACGTTATAACTGAGATGCATAAGGACCAGAATTACAATTTGCATGTTGCAAACTTTCATTTACATATTGTAATTAACGTGCACATTTTTTATATATACTTTATGTTTTGTACAATGTTATTTCCCCAAAAATACGGCTATTTTGTTTTAAATTACATAATGATACTGTTAAAATGTTTGGGGTAAGAAAATAATTTTTGAGAAAAAACAAAATCCTTTTTGAAACAGTTTTTAAAAATACTGTCATTTAGCAAGGATGTGTTGAATATATAGAGCCTATATATATATATATATATATATATATATATATATATAAACACTGTATATTTTTTCATCTGTTCATCAACTGTCTATTCAAAGCTTTTTTCCCCACAAAAATATTAAGTAGCACAACTGGTTTCAACATTGCTAATACAAATTGTTTATTGAGCAGCAAATCAGGACATTTCATTTTGTTATATTGTCCTTTCAGTTATAATAAGATGACACGTTTTATTCATATCAGGTACACATTGTGTTAGTAGCTTAACATTTGACCATATTCTTCTCCCAGTTCACCGGCCTCTTACTTTCATGTATTTCGTGAATTGACGTTGTAAATCCAACAGATCCGATTCTCTGAACTGTAAAACAAATTAAAATGGCGCCGTCCATTGTGCATACAGCTCAACTAACACGATTGTTATAAAGATGTTTAAACAACAAAACCCATCCACTTGCACATATTTGACAATCGGAATATCAGCGTTTCATGCTATAGCTAATACATTTGTGAATATTTTTAATAAAAAAGCAAAAATTACATAAAAGCAGATCATCATTCATTCAGCGCTGTGTTGCGGTTGTGCTGTGTCACGTGACAAGCAATGATGCGTCACCATGGAAACATTAAAGTGGCAAGTTCTAAATAACAGTCGCCTTGAAAAACTCACGCTGGGGAGTCAGTTAGAATATTTTAAACTTTCGTGTGAAAGGGTTAAAATCTAGCTTGCTATTACTAACCTCTCTGAAATTGCCTACCCTACCTTTTACTGGGGGCATAGCATTGATCAGGGCAGTCAATATGTCTGTAGTGGGGTCTACCTAGTGCTGAATCATAGTCTGATCAATGCTGACCACCTCGGGGCCAGAGATGACCCACAGACAGAGATGCCATCATGCCATTCGGTCTGATTCACTGTAGGCATTACTATAGCTGTGCAATCTTGGTTTTACTCCTCATGGATAGTGGTTTAAACTGCTTTGCGAGAGCCTTCACTGAATTGAATAGCTGAAATTCTTTAAGGATAAGAAGCTCTTTTAGATGCTACTCCATGATTTACATAGTCTTGCAAATATGTTGCATTTTAAACACTAGATGATCTTGCTCAAGTCAAGACGTTTTGACTTCAGTTGTCCCGGTGGAAGCACATTCCTGGACCTCAGGAGGAAGGTTTCCCAGCTGACTCTTCCCCAGCAGGATTGCCCTTTGCTGGGCCTTGCTCTGTCTGCCTGAGCCTGGAGGGGTTAAAAATAGCCCTGGATCCCGGACAGGGTGGATATTTGGCCTGATATAGCAATGGGAGACACGTTAACGGCCGCAGTTGTCAGTCACAAAGCCAGGCGGGAAGAGAGACAAGACTGGAAAAGAAGAGGAGACAAGAGGTCTACGCCAATACGGGACTCATTCTCAGAGAAGACCCAGGGCAGATCAGAGAGAGCACATAAGAGATTATGTTCGGGAACTGAGGAGAAAGATTGACATGAAAGTTTGGGGGATTTTGCATTAGCTGGATAGATGCTCTGATGCTGATAATTGAATGGGCTCCTGGGTACTACCTGAAGACTGAGGATAATGAACCCATAAAGCTAAGTGCATGTGAGGGAGTTGGAATCAATCTTCCAAAGAGTGATTTGATGTTCAGTGGTTTGTTATCACTGGAAAAGACACAGCAAGTGCGGAATCTATACGAAAGCACCAGACGTTGATGTAAAGTGTAGTGTTTTTTTTTTTTTTTTTTTTTTTTTTTTGCAAAGCTTTGGGTCACTCTTTACCATGGGCAATGCGGCAATGTGTAGGGCATGTGGTTCAGATAAAGGCTTGCGGACCATTGGAAGTGATCCATATCTGGACCATTGCTACAACTCTGTGGCAGATACCGTGGTAAGGCAACGTTATTGTAATCTAGGTTCAATAGACATTTGTTGAGGGGATTTTTCTGCTAAAAAAAGGACCAGCATATGTTGTGTTTGGGATGATGGGGTCAAAAACAGAACATTAAGAATCTTCTCTTATTCATTTAAACATGGCAATAGCAGTTAAGATCTCAAGAACATTCAACTTGTATGACTTTATTTATTTGCTGGAATATAAAAGAAGATATTTTGAGAAATGGAAGGGTTTTTTGGAAATCAATTGGTACTAAACTGTTTGGTTACCAACATATCTTCTGTCATGTGACAGGTTTGGAACAACATAATGGTGAGTAAATGATAATATATATATATATATATATATATATATATATATATATATATATATATATTTGAGTGAACAATTTTTTAACTTGGAAATGTTTCAATCGGCTTCTTAGCTTAACCAAGACTATTTGGTCAACTAGCGTCACCAGAAAAAAACATGTTAATTGAATAGCTTCACCAAGATTTGGTCTGGGTCTGACCATCACCAAAACAGCAATAACCAACAAAACCTCATTCAACTATTTTTGTATCTGTATTTTTTTTAGACTTTTCAGCTGTTTAATTAATTTTTATACTGGATTTTTATCAGCTTCAAGTACCTCAGGTAAGATGATCATCACTAATATAAAAGGATTAATTAATGTTATTCTTTTATTTATTATTGTTCAAAATTATTTTTTAGGTATGTATGTTTAACAGTTATCAACAGATTTTTCTTGCCAACATGAGCTCAAACAGTGGAGCATGTGTGCAGTTCCTGAACGTCATGAACAAATGTATAGTTAGTTTCTGTTACCAATGGTTAGGTCTTAAAATGTGACCTCTCGACCGCAAAAGGAGCAGAGGTCATGCCTCGAACATTTCGGTCAAGAGCCTGTGATGGCCTGACTGCCCTGACACATTAGTGCCTCATGTTCTACATGACCTGAGAGGTACTGATTTATTGCCGGAGCTTGGCGCCAATTCTCTTTTCATTTCTATTTGAACTAAATGCCTGAATGCTGGCTTGAACTGATAAAAAAGCTTGACATAGGCATATAAAAGAGGTTTCTGGAATTTTAAGGGTTTTAATATCTTCATAACAATACTGTCTGCGTGTTTAAGTACATTTTGTGCTGCTGTTGAAAGGTAAACAGCTGTCCCTGTCTACCTGCTCTTGTACATTGAGGATTTTGTGTTTGCATTGAACATGCAGGTTTTATTTGCCACAGTTGGGAGTTGGGACTCTCATGTCAATGCCTTTAAAAGGAACTGCTCTATAGTAGTATAAACCAACACATGTTCGCTGATTGATGCCAAATAGGAAATTTGATCTTAGCATTAATTTTCCTCTTCGCATGGCAATACTTTCAGTGCATATTCATACACGCATTCAGATCTATCTATCTATCCATCTCTCTCTCTCTCTCTCTCTCTCTCTCTCTCTCTCTCTCTCTGTGTGTGTGTGTGTGTGTGTGTGTAATGTCAGCTGCCTTCGTTCTATTTTGCTGTCTATATTTAGCAGAGTCACAGTCAAACAAACAATTCTGATAAAAGAATATAGCCTACACCCACTAAAATGCTAAATTTCACATACATGTTGAGACATACGTTATGAATCCTGACAAATACTTTTTCAAAAGTTTGGGGTTGTATGATTTTTTTTTATGTTTTTTTTTTTTTTAAGTCTCTTATGCTCACTTCAAAATGACAGGAAGACTGTATATTACGATTTAAAATAATAGTTTTTCTATTTTAATATTTTAAAATGTAATATATTCCTGTGATACAATGTTGCATTTTCAGCATCATTACTCCAGTCTTCAGAGTCACATGATCCTCCAGAAACCATTCTGATTTGCTGCTCAAATTAGTTGGATTCAATGGAAATCTTTACTGTCACTTTTGATCAGTTTAATGTTTATTCATTTCTTTCAAAAGAATCTTACTGACCCTGCATTTTTAAATGGTAATGTACATTATCAGAAGGACCATCCTTATTGGAAAAATTCAGATCTTACCATACATTTGCCATATTACGAAAGTAAAATGAATTGCATTGACTTTGATCACTTGAATATTGCATTGTAATTTCTCAATATTTTACCAGATCTGAGCTGATGTTTTTTTTTTTTATGGTGTGTTGTTTCCACAGTCGGACAGTAACACCAGCTTCCTGAGAGCAGCCAGAGCAGGAAATGTTGAAAAGGTGCTGGAGTTCCTCAAGAGCGGACAGGACATTTCTACGTGCAACCAGGTAACTTCTTCCATGAACCAGGATTTCAGTATTACAAAAAACAAGAAATTAATGCCATGTTTTCTCATCGGTTTCCTCAGCCTCAATTTAAAAGGCTAGCTTTGGAGACAATCTGAAGGGAGGGTGGGATCTTATGCTTTCAAAGCTAGCTTGCTATTGCTTTAATTCAAATAAATGCGACATTTGGAAGTTTTGCACACAGTTACAGTTCAATCAATTCTTACATGTATTTATATTCTTAAAATAGAATCTGTGGAGATAAAATATGTTGGGTAATGCTGAATTTTAAGGCCTATGTTTTCCAAGAAGCAGGTTTGCCATAAACTTTTTTTTTTCTAGCTTAAGAGACATACAGTATTCTGTCAACTCTGTGTTAGCTATGCACTCTTTAGAAAGTCCTAGTACATTGTTCTTTGTGAGGGAAGGATAATCCTGATTATTAGAAATGCGCCTGCTTTTTTAGCACACATTGCTTTATGATGTTAGAGAGCCATACTGATTCCTGACAAATGCTGCATTACCATCAGGACATCATCAGCTAATTCTCTCTGCCAGCCAGTTCTTTCTAGTATATCAAAGGCTTTTTACTCATGCGTGTCTCTGGCAGCTGTTCACACTCCCGACCTTCTGTACCTTCTGGATAACCAAACCCTCCCACTGTCACAGCACTGCTGTGTTCAACCATTTCTTACAAACTACCCCTGGCATAATAACAAATGCACGGATATCAACAAATGTATTGAAGGCAAATCGATATTTAATCTCAAAATATGTGAACTGAAAACCAAACAGTCCTAAAATGCAAACATGCACGTAAAATAAAACGTTATCCAGTCAGATATGTAATAAAGCTAACTTTTATCAATGAACAGATGATACCACATGCAATTACCATTCAACAAGATTTGGCACAGGCATGAACTACAAAACTGCCCAACAATAATCTTAATGGCACTGGTTTTTAGCAGGGTGTGCCAAATAAATATGATGCAAATGTAGTCATTATACTAGCAAACAAATAGCCAGAAACCATGACCAACCCAGGGGGAAAAAAAGAGAAAGTACCTTAACGTTACATTAACACTGGTTTAACAAGACTGTAGAAGGCATGATTCACTAAGTTTGACAGTGTGTCCAAATTGAACAAATATCTGCTGTTTTATGATGAAAGGTGTGATTGTCTTTTTTATTTTATTTTTTTATTAAATGCAACTGGGTGCTTTGATGTTCTTTTCAAAGAACGAGGACGTGCTGGCCCAAACCTGGCCTAGTTGCCCGCTGTATTCAGATAAATCACCACAGGTAATCAAGAGAATCAGGGAAATGTGCCACTTGGTGCTCCTTATAGACCCTCATTGGGAGAATCAGACTTGGTTCCCGGAGCAATCACAAACAGCCCCGTGGCCGATTACGCAGTCTAGAGCTCCCTCTACCAGAAAGATTTATGCATCTAAATGGTCTGTGTTCTCCAAATGGTGCACCAATAAAAATCTGGACCCACGGACATGTGGGGTTTCATTTAGTGGGCGCACCAAAGGTCTCGCCGCCTCGAAACAAAGTCGGTCCAGATGGATTGTGGACGCTATAGCAGCCGTCAAAAAGTCTGCAGTGCCCCCTGGGCATCAGGGCCTTTTCAACTAGAGGCATGGCCTCTTCGTGGGCAAGGTCCAACGGAATTTCCATTCACGACATATATGTGGCGGCGGGCTGGGCCTCCCCATCCACCTTTGTTAGGTTCTATAACCTAGAAGTTCTCGCTCTGCATGCAAAACTTCTGTCATTTTAAGTGAGATGTATGTTCTGTCCAGATATGATATGATCTCACGTGTCCTAGCTCTTCTGGTTGAGGTGCACTTGTGGATATGTGCTACATGCTTCCACAGACCGGGGCCGCCGCTCTGTATTCCCCATGAGTGCTTACTGTATGTACGAGTGCTGGCCCGCGTTGCTGGTCGCCTTATTTTCCCACTTATCGGGGTTCCCCGGGAAACCCTGGGACTCATGAGTGGATGCTTGGCATGCACGGCGTTGACAAAGGGTTCCTCTAGCGTAAGCTAACTTACGCAATACTAGAGAACATCTTGTAAGTGAAATTATCGGTTACCTAATGTAACCTCGGTTCTCTTTAGAAGAGGGAACGAGTTTTGCTTAACCTGCCGTGCTCGTGCCACGAGCGACTTTCACTTCAGTCGATGAAAACCAGAGAAACGGCCTTATATATGCTATACTGGCGGGCTATGAGGCTGTGAAGGTGCGAGCGCCCTTCATTGGACGTGAGACGGTAGACGGCCTGCTCTAGGTCTGCTATGACAATGAACACAAAATTAAGGATAATTTTTTTGGCTTCAATATCCTGAAAAAGATAAATCTTTCCCGTAGCGTAAGCTAACTTACGCAATACTCGTTCCCTCTTCTAGAAAGAACCGAGGCTACGTTAGGTAACCGATACGTTTTTCCATGACATTTATCCATCATGATGTCATATGGAGTCGCCAGTAATGAGCATGTCAGCACAACAATGGACAAGCATTCCATGTTCTTTTCTCTAGAGTCCACTCTTCTAATCCTCACTGAGTGATATTGCAACATAATCTGCTCATGTTTTATCTGTTTTTTTTTCTTTCCACTCTTTCACCGGAATCCCTCTCTCCAGATCCAAAAATTCATACAGCTTTTATTATCTAAATAAATGAGATTAGAGTGTAGTTAATTCTCTCTGCTCTTACTGACGTGTCTGAATGTTAGCCACACTGCGTTACACAAGAGCTGTCATGATTTACCCATCAAACACGGAATCAGGTGCATTAGTAAATTAAGACAGGTGGCGATGTTTAAATTAGGGGAATGCTTATTACAGCTGGAGAAAAAAGAGATTAAACACTAAACACCGCCAGCATGATTAATTAATAGCATAAGTGACTTTGACATGATATGATGAAAATTACACATTTTGCAATGGTTAAAATGGTATAAAAATAAGTAGAAATAGAAAAAAAAGGCTGTTGGTAAATTTAGCCATAGCAAAATCTGTGAGAACTATTCTTTGTATCAGGGATTTTTAAACTGGGTCTGGGGGAAAGTTGAGATGAGAGGAGATGAGAATAGACATAAAACACACAACATTAAAAAAAAAAAACTATATTTAAAACTTTCTAATATATTTAACATATTAACCATAATCTTGAATTTTTAATGAATCTTGTTTTTTTTTTCTAGAGCTATACATAACAATTTACTATATGTATTAATCAATCTAGAAAAAGCATAAGAGTATTAGTCTATCTATTATTAGTGTAGAGTATAGGATGTCAAATTGTCCTGCTATTTATCATTTGCATAAAAAATGTATTAATCATATCTCCCTTTTCACTTAGAACGGACTCAATGCGCTCCATCTAGCAGCCAAAGAGGGTCACGTGGGGCTGGTGGAGGAACTTCTGGAGAGGGGTGCAACCGTGGACTCTTCAACCAAGGTTAAGCACACATATACACTCACAAACTGGAGAGAGGGATATGAGATTACCAAATGGCTAGAGAGTAAATCTGATGGAATGTTAGTCATCCAGCACTGTGATACGATGATGGACTCTATTGACTCCTGTCATCTGACACGCAGGGCCAAACAGACACACCCACACAAGCCAGGAACTATAAACAAATGACCAGCAATCACACTGACAGTGGAGAGCTTTATACTGCAAGGACAGTTTTTTTTTTTATTATGGACTAGATTCATAAAGGTCCTTTTTGCCTGATAAGATTTCTACTATTTTGCACAAGCAGGCAAATAGCTTTTCTTGTTTCAAGCACAAACTTCTCTGAATTATTTTAGATTTGTGCATAAAAAAGATAAAAAGTTGCTTTTGGGTTAAGAAAAATTAGATATTTTCTTTGAAAATGTTGTAATATCTAATGCAATTTTGCTTCTGAAGTAAAAATTTCGATATCTTGTTATATATATATATATATATATATATATATCAACCCGGTCTCATCCCAAGACGTCATATAACTGACGTTTTGGGACGTCTTTTGACCATACGTCAATATTCGCCTTTTTAGGGCCCCCTTAAACGTCGGTAGATGAGGTTATGGGATCCTAACTCTACCCCAGACCTAAACCTAACCCTAAACCCAACCTGTCACCTAACTGACGTTAAAGGTAAAGCGTCAGTTGTATGACGGCCCGGGATTGCCATCTACCGACGTTTAAGGGGGCCCTAAAAAGGCGGATATTGACGTATGGTCAAAAGACGTCCCAAGACGTCAGTTATATGACTTTTTGGGATGAGACTGTGTTATATATATATATATATATATATATATAATTTGTTGGGATATTTTTTTTACTGTAAATCAAACCCATAAGACTAATTAATAATTTTTTCCAGCTTTTTTCAGAGTCGACCCTTTGTGATTCACACAAGTATGAACATACTCGCACACAAAGTGCACAATTAATATATATCTCCCTTTCCTCTTCAGAAAGGGAACACTGCGTTACACATTGCTTGTCTGGCTGGGCAGAAAGAGGTTGCGAAGCTGTTGGTGAAAAGAGGAGCGGATGTTAACTCCCAATCGCAGGTGAGAAAAGCATAAATTATAATAATAATATACAGTCAAATAATAATTCATTTAATTTAAGTATTATTTTATAAATTGTTATAATATTAAGCTGTATGTTACTACAGAATGGCTTCAGTCCACTTTATATGGCTGCTCAAGAGAATCACCTGGATGTTGTGCGATATCTTCTGGAGAATGGTGGAAACCAGAGCACAGCCACAGAGGTTTGTGATTGCGATTGTTGTGTGTGTTTCTATTCTTTGCAACATGCCCATACAAGCATAGCTGTGTATCTTAAAGAGGATCTATTATGCTTTTTTTTTTCTTTCTTTACTGTGTAATGTGGCTGTTTGAGCATGAAAAGGGTCTGCAAAGTTACAAAGTCCACTCCAAAATGAGTTATTCTCAATATCAGTCAACTCCCTGAAGCACTTTGATTGCAGTCTTGAGTTTTCTTCCGCGTACGAACTCATAGTATCGCTCATTTGAATAATTTCCACCCTAGGTATATGCGAAAAAACGAGGTCTGATTGAGTTAGTAGTGTGTTGAAACTCAGTTGACCAATCACAACCCACTGGTCCAGCCGACCAATCAGAGCCCATTATGCTTTTCGGAAGGAGGGGCTTCATAGAGACTGACGCTAAACAGAACGTTATTGACAGAGTGCGAAAAGAGGTGCTGCAAAAAACTTTTTTTTTACATTCAATCAGGAAAAACTATTATAGTAGACCCCCAAAACAAAATCGAGACTTTATAAAAGGGCATAATAGGTCTTTTTTAATAGAGGATAGCATTTACACTTTACACATAGACTGTGATTTTGATGACTTGCTTATTTTCTTTTCTTATTGTGTAACAAACATGCAAGGTAAATACTGTCTAAAACTAGATGGAAGAGAAATCTCAATCTTGAATGATTTGAAATCATATTCATCACTGTTAGAAAATCCAACTAATAGCATCAGATGGTTTATGGTTTCTTTCCTGTTCATTTGCTGGTTCAAGCTGGTCTAGGGGGTTGATCAGCTGGACTAGCAGCCACTTAACCTACATATTGGTCAAGCTGGTTATGGCTGTTGTGTCTGAACAAAGTGATGGTTCTGTTTGTTAATCTCTGTATCTGTTCTCTCCATTTCTAGGATGGCTTCACTCCTCTGGCCATTGCTCTGCAGCAGGGTCATAATCAGGTGGTCTCTCTGCTCCTGGAACATGACACAAAAGGTAAAGTCCGTCTGCCTGCTCTCCACATCGCGGCTCGCAAAGATGACACCAAATCTGCTGCTTTGCTGCTCCAGAACGACCACAATGCTGATGTCCAGTCCAAGGTAAGAGAGCAAAGGAGGGGAATTTTCATGTTCATACTTTTGGTTGGTACTATAGCAATAATATGCTTTTTAGACATGTTTGGTTTTACGGATAGTAGTACAATTTTTAGACATAGTGTTAGAGGTCTGCGCGGGATGGATTTTTCAATTCTGCCCCAGATAGCAAATGACACCAAGTTGTGGCCCACATCTCCCACATTCTTCTGGCCCCTTCGATGACTCAATCTAAGTGTGGCTGGCGATAGCATACATTTACTGGCCTCATCTGGGCCAACCATGGCACATATGGCTCAGTTCTGGTAGCGGAAAAGTTCGCCACATCTTGGTCACACACACCTGCCTGAAACTTTCATGTTTTGTCCAATTCCCACTCGCAAAAGCCCGTCAGATGAGGTCTACACAGATTTTTCAGTCCTGGTCCGGTTAGATCTGTCTCGTTTCGATGCTATTTTTACAATTTCCACAAAAGCATGCAAGGCTGACAGATTTTTGCTTGCTATTATTTTTAGATAATTATGTTTTGCAGTAGCCCACAAGTCATTTCGTTCGTTCGTTCACGCACATATTACTATCTTCCCTCCCGCATCCACACTCAGCAATTTAAAAAAATGGTCCCGCGGATTGCAGACCTCTACATGGTGTCATGATAGTATCCTGTATTATTTGAAAATTTAGCATTGTAATGGTTTTTCATTTGGTACATATACAGTATCGTTGTACCATGGTGTTCTTTGAACTTTACCCCTGGTTTCACAGGCAAAGCTTAAGCCTAGGCCCAGACTAAAATGCATGTCTGAGCTGTTTTAACTGAAAGCACCTTGCATATCTTAAATTTAAAGCTCAAAATCTCAAGATGGGCGCCAGTAATGGTACATTTAACCTAATTAAACTAAGGCCTTAATCTAAACCCTGTCTGTGAAACCAGGCCTTTACTGTGTAAAATACCATGGGATATCAATATGGTAATCATATTTTTAATGTCACTGTGCTCAATTATTTTAAAAGGATTTATTTATTAATTAATTAGTCTTGCATTGAGGTTCTTTAAGCTATTGAGATTGATATTAGAACATTTGTTTGGCTTTTTTTCCTTCACTGAATTATAGTCATGCTTTGCTCCTATAGTCATGGATTGCTCCTTTTAAGATGAAAATCTGATGTTTTTTCCTCAGATGATGGTCAACAGGACTACAGAGGTATTAAGATTCTCAACAGAATCCTGCATTCGTCTTGACTCTTGTAAAATCTAATGTGCTACTTGACATTGAATCTTTCTTTTACAGTGCATGGGTAGAGTAAAGTCTTGTCCCTTTTAAATGTAGTGCATGACACATTGTTGTTTTTATTTTAGTGCAACACTGTTTTCTTAATGTTTGGGTGTTTCTTGCTCATCGTGATGTTTTGAGCAGGAAATAGGGGTTCATTATGTTATTTAATACCACTTATGATTTTACTAACAGGCCAAACAGACGTTTAACTCTCAATTGTGCATGTGAAGTCATGCTGTCACTCTCACTGTCTGTGTAGAAGTCTCTCGGTCACATTTTGCTGCACCTTTTTGTTAATTCTGTTTTTTAAATTGCACCATGTCTGTCAGAATGGAAAGGTAAGAAAACAATGGCACTATCAAGCAAACTCAGTAAGACAGACAATGTCAATTTCCTATCAATACATTCATCTTTAGTAATAGAGAGTAGTTGCTGACTAACATTTGTTCAGATATTTTGTTCATCATCTTTTTTTTTCTTTCATTGTCACTGAGAAACTTCTCATCTCTCTATCTCATGACACTGGGAATGTGCTTATATATTATAACATGCACAAATCTAATCTTTCCGTTTGTTATTTCATTTTAAGTTTTTACTTTTCATTCACTCTAGTGCATGGTGTGGTTGGATCCAGTGGTAGCAGATGAGAATCCAGACACTTGTTTTACTTTGCCATTCTTTTCTTTCTGTTAAGTTTTTGCACAAATGTGATGATTCATTGGAATGCTGCATGGAAGATCATGGATGATGAATGTTGATGGATGATGGATTTGCATTAGCAAACTTAACTTCATTCTGTTTTCTTCTTTTCCTTGTTCTATCCCTTCTTTTACCCCAATACTATTCCATTGTCTAACAGAGTGGCTTCACTCCTCTGCATATTGCTGCTCACTACGGTAATGTTAATGTGGCCACGCTGCTGCTCAACAGAGGGGCGGCTGTAGACTTCACAGCCAGGGTACGATCTAAAGCCTAAAAAAAGTGATATTGTCTATTAGCATACTTTTTGTGATTCTACACCTCATACAAATAACATACATTGTCCAATACATTGTAACATACATTGTTACTTACAATTAGGCAAATTATTATATAAAGCAGTTTCACAGATTGGGCTTAGATTAAACCAGGATTAGGCCTTGGTTCAATTAGGACATTTAAAGGAGAACTCCGGTCAATTTTAACATTGAGCTCATTTTTTTGGTAAATTTGGAGTGCTGTCAGTACAGAGAAAAACGTCAAAAATCGGTGTTGCGTACACCGTGTTATCGTCTTTTTAAAATTCGCACCCTGTTGACTTTAATGGGGCATGTTCTAAACCTGCTTTTAGCCTCTTAACATCCTTGATTTGTCATTACGAGTGCACAGCCATGTGAGTGGTGTTATTAAGAGTGACCATGGTCAATCTGACTGCAGTAGATGTGAAAGATATGAATAAAAATGATGTTAATTCAGCCAGCTCACATACCTCTATTTGCTTCCTGTTTTCGGTCGAAGCCCACAGTAGTCGATAGTCGATCTCACGCGCGCGATTATTGGTGAATATCGTCTCAAACCTCTGTGTGTTCAACATCTGATTCGGATGAATCTCCATTTGAGCTGGTATTCTCAGAACACCACACAGTGGTAGTTTTGAGACGATATTCACCAATGATTGCATGCGTGAACTCGACAATCGACTACTGTGGGCTTCAACCGAAAACAGGAAGCAAATAGAGGTACAGTATGTGAGCTGGCTGAGTTAACATCATTTTTATTCATACCTTTCACATCTACTGCAGATTGTCCGTGGTCACTCTTAATAACACCTCTCACGTGGCTGTGCACTCGTAATGACAAATCAAGCATGCTAAGAGGCTAAAAGCAGGTTTAGAACATGCCCCATTGAAGTCAACAGGGTGCGAATTTTAAAAAGACGATAGCACGGTGTAGGCAACACCGAGTTTTGTCATTTTTGTCTGTACTGACAGCACTCCAAATGTACAAAAAATGAGCTCAATGTTAAAATTGACCGGAGTTCTCTTTTAAGTCGTTTTTATAAACATGCCGGTAACACTTTGCAATAATAAGGTTCATTAGTTAACTATATTAGTTAGCATGAACTAATGATGAACAGCACTTATACAGCATTTATTAATTTTGTAAATGTTAATTTCAATATTTACTAATACTTTATTAAAATCTTATTAACATTAGTTAATGCGGGAACTAACATGAACAAACAATGAACAGCTTTATTTTTATTAACTAACATCAACGAAGATTAACAAATAGAGTAACAAATGTGTTGATAATGGTTAGTTCATGTTAGTTAATACTAATGTTAAAGGGATACTCCACTTTTTTTGGAAATAGGCTCATTTTACCACTACCCCAGAGTTAAACAGTTGGGTTTTAGCGTTTTCGAATGTATTCAGACGATGTTTTTTGATATTTAGAAGAATATCAGTAACCAGACAGTTTCTGGTCTCATTGACTTCCATAGTATATTTTTTTCCTACTATGGAAGTCAATGAGACCAGAAACTGTCTGGTTACTGATTTTCTTCTAATTATCAGAAAATCGGCTGAATGGATTTGAAAACGGTAAAACTCAACCTTTTAACTCTGGGGGAGTGGTAAAATGAGCCTATTTCCAAAAAAAGTGGAGTATCCCTTTCTAATGGACCTTATTGTAAAGTGTTGCCAACATGCCTTAGACAAAAAAACATTACTGGTGTGAATCAAAACAATGCCACTGACATATTTAAAGACATCAAAATATGTCAGCATAAAACAGCTCAAAAATGCATTTTAATCGACTTAAGCCTTGTCTGTGAATAAGTTGGAAAGTCTTCTAAATCTATGCAAATAGCTTTCTGTAAGAAACGGACTGACGTTTAAGATGTTATTCACAAAAATCCCATGGTTTTAATTTTTTGGTAAACTATCCTTCTCCCCCCTCCCCGTAAGCATGAATATAAATAATCTATCCTAAAATATGTACTGTTTTGTTTAGAATGGTATAACCCCTCTCCATGTGGCCTCCAAACGAGGAAATACCAACATGATTGATCTGCTGCTAGATAGGGGGTCTCAGATTGATGCCAAGACCAGGGTGAGTATCAATACTGTAGTTCCATCAAAATGCTTTAAAACAAGCGCCCTCTACCTGTACTGTTAACAGCAGTTTAGAGAAACAGTTATTGAATATTCTTCAGTATGTGAAATTAATAGCATTTTGTGAGCAATGCATTTTACGATTGGATTGCCGATTCATACTGTTTTAGGCTTGGGTCCCCAAACTCGGTCCTGGACGGCCACTGTTCCTACAGAGTTTAGGTCCAAAAAGGCTCTAATCCTCCTCCTTGAAAGTTTGTAGTATGCATAGTGAGACCTTGATTAGCTGGTTCAGTGTTTAATTGTGGTCGGAGCTAAACTCTGCAGGACAGCGGCCCTCCAGGACCCCTGGTTTGTGTGAGTTTTTGTACAGTATATGCTATTTGATTGTTTTTATCGTCTCTCTGTTGAACAGGATGGCCTAACACCTCTGCACTGTGCAGCCAGAAGTGGACATGACACTGCAGTGGAAATACTGCTTGAAAAAGGAGCTCCCATACTGGCACGGACCAAGGTGCTTCCTAAAAACTGCTAATGTCTAACTGCTCAATTTAGGTCCCCACTGTGACATGAGTCCCCATTGATTCAGGTTCAAGTCATACACAAACACACACGCCGTCTTTACTGTAATCAATTTAATGCGCCCTTGCTTGATAAAGGTAATCATTTCCTTTAAAAACTAAAAGTAGTGTGCTATCACTGTGGTATATGATGGTAACCATATAATATAACTGTCTCATCATGCCATACACTCTCAAAAAAAAAGGTACAAAAACTGTCACTGGGGCTGTACCTTTTCAAAAGGTAAACTTTTGTCCATTTTAGGTGCTAATATGTCCATTTTAGAGGCTAATATGTACATTTCAGGTGCTATTATGTACATTTTAGGTGATATTATGTACATTTCAGGTGCTAACCCAGATAGCAAACTGACATTGAATCAACGTGGAAACATGACATCGAAACAACGTTGATCTGACATTGTTTTGCTCATCGAATTATTGTGTAACCAACGTCAGACTTTCAAAACTAACGGAAAATCAACTTGAAATCAACGTTATTTCAAAAGCACACCAATTTTCGATTTTCATTTAGCTTTGAAGAATGCCGCGTCTGACGTTGGTTCAACGTTAATTCGATGAGCAAAATCAACGTTGTTTCAATGTCATGAGAGACGTCGTTTCAACGTTGATTCAATGTCAGTTTGCTGTCTGGGAATATGTACATTTCAGGTGCTAATATGTACATTTCAGGTGCTATTATGTACATTTCAGCTGCTAATGTCCATTTTAGGTGCTAATATGTACATTTCAGGTGCTAATATGTACATTTTAGCTGTGAATATGTACATTTCAGGTGCTAATATGTACATTTCAGGTGCTATTATGTACATTTCAGGTGCTAATATGTACATTTCAGGTGCTAATATATACATTTCAGTTCCTATTGTGTACATTTCAGGTGGTAATATGTACATTTCAGGTCCTATTATGTACATTTCAGGTGCTAATATGTACATTTTAGAAGCTATGTAAATTTCAGGTGCTAATATGTACATTTTAGGTCCTAATATGTACTATTAAGGTACCAATATGCAGCCTTTAGGTACAAAAGTGTATCTTTTGAAAAGATACAGCCCCAGTGACAGCTTTTGTCTTTTTCATCTGAGAGTGTAGTATAACTGCTCCATGGTGCCAGCACAGCACTTTTTGATCTGAAGCTGATCTGTTTTTTTTTTCTCTCTTTGTATTTCCACTCACAGAACGGACTGTCTCCGCTGCACATGTCTGCTCAGGGTGATCACGTCGAGTGTGTGAAACACCTGCTGCAACACAAGGCACCGGTTGATGATGTAACACTGGACTACCTGACCGCCCTTCATGTTGCTGCCCACTGTGGTCACTACAGAGTCACAAAATTACTGCTGGATAAGAAAGCAAACCCTAACGCTAGAGCACTGGTAATTCTTTGTCTTGATGGTAAAATGTGGATCGTTTTATTTTATTACATTTAAAAAAAAAAACTGGATGGAAATGCCATAAATGAAAACAAAATAAAACAATGTGTAAAAAAATAAAATAACAATTTTTAAAATCTCCTGCTTCAAATACAATAAATAACTTGTTACTTGTTACTGTTGTGCTGGATCAGTAATCACTGGGGAATTGTCCGAAATTAGTTTTTTTGTTTTTTAAATTTGATTAAAAAAAGATAATAAAAAATAAAAGATTAAAAAAAAATAAAGATATGATTGCAAAACAGTACAAGATCTTGATTTTTTATATTATAACCTATGATGTAATTAAGCAATATAACAAGAGCAAGAGAGCTGCTTTCACGAATATGAGCATGATTTCAAACATGATATTGATTTTATGATATGACAGTTGAATAAATGATTCCCTGACAGTGATTTGACACCACCTACTGGTGGTTTAAGTATAATTTCCATCATATTTCTATATTGGAAATTTTATTTTTAAAACATAAATTTCAACAATATTTATGTTGGTGTATTTGTACCAATTCAGGTGCAACGTCTGTGCCACCTCTGCAGTACAAATATTAGTTTAATTGTTAGTGATTTTGTTTGATTGGTAACAGCTCTATATAATGTCTCATTATTTTAAATGTTTTTATTGATTAAATGCAAGACATTTCTCAGACAGTAAATGTGGATCTTTTAGATAAATTTAAGAAATGCTGGTCTTGGTCTTGATTCAGTCTCGCCCTGCCATGGTCTTGTCTTGCTCCCAACCTCTCAAAATCTTGTTCTTTTCTTGATCTCAGGACTTGGACTCGGTTTAGGTGGTTTCCACTATTTCCCAAATCTTTTATGCGATATTCCAAATTAGTGCATAGGTTAAATGAGCAACTTTGGATTGAAACATACTGTAGCTAGTGATGTATTTAAATATGTTTGTTATTTTCAGAATGGCTTCACTCCTCTGCATATTGCCTGCAAGAAGAACAGAGTGAAAGTCATGGAACTGCTGGTTAAATATGGCGCCTCAATCCAAGCCATCACTGAGGTGAGAGTCTTGGTAGTATGTGACTGTGCCCTACTTGGATAATATGTAATTTTCCATGTAACTTTGTAGAGTTTAATTATTTAGAGTTTAATAATTCCATTTTGCAGAGTGAGAACCGGGCACTAACAATGCCAAAGTTTGATTCCCAGAGATCACGAACTGCAAAAATATATACATTGAATTCAATGTAAATCGCTTACAATTAAAGTGTCTGCCAAAGTAATATGAATGCAAATGAGGGTGGATTTCATTTGCTTACATTTATTGGAGATTGGTTCCTCTTGTTGTCCTGCTGACTCAAGCTCTGCTTGCTCATTCGTTGCTCAGTATTTTAGCTCCTGTATCTCACTCTCCTCTCTTTCTCCCTAGTCCGGCCTGACACCAATCCATGTTTCAGCATTCATGGGGCACCTCAATATTGTTCTCCTACTGCTACAGAATGGAGCCTCACCTGATGTCTGTAATATTGTGAGTACATAATCATCATGATGGACATTTTGTGGCATATATTTCTTAATATTTCTTGTAGAGGTGAGCAATATTGACCAAAATATATGTGATATGTGATTTGTGACACAAATTTACTTTTCCATTAAGGGGCAATGCTTGATTTCCAGGGACATTTTAGCTTTATAAGCCCATTTTGTTTGTAACCTTATTAAATGCGTAATCTTTAATGACAAATTCTTAGATTTAATCAATAAATTCAATTAGAATAATAAGACATTATAGGGCTGTTACCAGTCAAATTAAATCAAAACTTTTTGAACTGCATAAATGACACAGAAGCTGCATCTCAAGTAGCAGATCGATGTATTTACATCAGACGCCACACATTCGTGTATTTACACTGCAATTAATATTGCATAATAATATTGTGAGAGTGTTTTAAAAAAATGTAAATGTTAAAATTAAAATATGAAATAATAAAAAAACGAAATAATATTTTAAAATATGATCTTAAACCAAAAGATTCATTCAGTAATGAAACACTGCTTTGTCTGTCTATTCTATTTATTATAAGAACGTTTTGCTAATGTTAACATTAAGTTATGAAAATTTTCCCTGAACATTCAAAAAAAAGCTCTTGGTTATACAAACGTTAAGCATTGAACATTCCATTTTTATAATGCTTCAAACATTATTGGTATATATTACTTTTTAAATTAGTCCTCTGAACGTTCTGGAAAAAGTAGTAACATTTAAAAAACAAAACGTTTCAGAAAAAAAGTATAAACAATGTTTTTGTGTTAACATTTTTAGAGAATTATTAAAGCTCAGAGATGCCCAGTGGTTCTGCTCTGTTTTGTAACTGCTTTTGCTGCTGCGTTCTAAAAGGCTTCACAATATTATCATAGACGATACGTATCGCACACCCTAGTGTCAGATCCGTGAATTAGCTGATGCTTTGGCACATTGTGGTGCTTATGCTTGCGGTATCAGCTTGCAACATGTTTAAGTTCTCGAAATCATTTCCTGTCCTTTGTTCTCTCCTCTAAATGAAATAAAAGGCCTACACAGCATTGCATCTCCTGTATTACTGACTGTGTTTGTCCTCAGCGTGGAGAGACTGCATTGCACATGGCTGCAAGGGCAGGACAGATGGAGGTGGTGCGATGTTTGCTAAGGAACGGCGCTCTGGTGGATGCCATGGCCAGAGTGAGTCAATGAAAACAGATACAGATATTAATGACTACAAATAGAGATTTAAACATATCCTATCTGTATTTCTCTCACTCTTTCTATCTGATTTCTCCATCCAGGAGGATCAGACACCCCTTCACATTGCGTCTCGCCTGGGTCAGACAGAGATCGTGCAGCTGTTACTGCAGCACATGGCTCACCCTGATGCTTCCACCACTAATGGATACACACCTCTGCACATCTCCGCTCGTGAAGGGCAGGTGGAAACGGCTGAGGTGCTGCTGGAGGCCGGAGCGTCTCATTCGCTCTCCACAAAGGTGCGACTGCAGGCATATCTGTGAAACAAATACAGACCCTCATTCAAATATATCATCAAATATTATTTTACTAACCCTATTACTTTGTATATAAACTACCATTCAAAAGTTTTGGTTGATTTGTTTCATGTCTTTGAAAGAAGTCTCTTATGCTCACCAAGGCTGCATTTATTTAATTAAAAAATATATAGTAAAAAAACTTAATATTGTGAAATATTAATACATATACTCTTCAGTATCTTCAGTGTCACATGATCCATCATGAATCATTAAAATATGCTGATTTGGTGCTCAAGAAACATTTCTTCTTATTATTATTATTACCATATCTGAAAACGGTTGCGCTGCCTTGTTTGCCTTTAAACCTTTTTTCTCAGGATTTTTTGATAAAGTAAAAAAAGAACAGCATTTATTTGAAATCGAAATCTTTTGATCAGATTACTGTGTCCTTGCTGAGTAAAAGTATTAAAGGGATATTTCACTTTGAAATTAATTTTTGATATGTTTTAGCTTACCTCAAGGGCATCCAAGATGTAGGTGTCTTTGTTTCCACAGTATTTTCAATTTTGACATTTTTTGGTCAAACCGTTGTTGTCTGTCAGTCTATGGTCACCACCTCAAAGAGCATGCACAGAGAAGTCAAAATTAAACATGATTTAATGACTCATAAATGTAAGTACACATTGATGGCCTAAGACACTAAACGAACGGTTTGGGTGAGAAAACGAACAGTATTTATATTGTTTTTTCGGGAAAGTCCCGAAAGTGATCTCTTGCGCGCGTACGTCACTCATTGTTATACAGAGATTTCAGAAGTGTGTTATCATTCACTGGGAAGATCTAAACATATTTAGATATTCAGGAAATTGCAATGGAAGACAATTTCGATATATCAACAGACCATGTTGATTTTTTTTTTTTTTCGCAATCGCGCAAGAGATCTCTTCCGGCGCATGCGCAGACCGAAGTGCCCGTGCCTTCAGATCACTTGGACGTGGCTGTGGTTACAAGAGGTAAAAACAATATAAATACTGTTCTTTTTCCCACACAAACCGCTCGTTTCGTGTCTTAGGCCATCAATGTGTACTTACATTTACGAGTCATTAAATCATGTTTAATTTGGACTTCTCTGTGCATGCTCTTTGAGGTGGTGACCATAGACCTGCATTATATGACTGACAGACAAGAACGGTTTGATCTAAAAAATATCAAAATTGAAAATACTGTGGAAACAAAGACACCTACATCTTGGATGCCCTTGAGGTAAGCTAAAACATATCAAAAATGAATTTCAAAGTGAAATATCCCCTTAACGTCTTTAAAAATATATATAAAATCTTGTCAGATCACGCATTTTTGTACAATAGTGTATGTATTTGTATGTATTTAACTAAAGATAAATATCCTTCCCCTTAATAGAAAGGTTTTACTCCTCTACATGTTGCTGCCAAGTATGGAAGCCTGGATGTGGCAAAACTCCTCCTACAGAAAAGAGCACTTCTTGATGATTCTGGAAAGGTGAAAGTCAAAACTTGAATCACCTTCTCACTACACTACTCACATTCTGCTAACTTTCATTAGAGCATTAGATGACTGTTAAGCTAAGTTCTTGTAAAGTCTATTGGGTAACTTTCAAAATAAAGTGTTTGCAGATATTGAAGTCCCCCTGTAGTAATTGTATCCCTTAAAACTCACATTTGATCACCAAAATGAAATTTATTTGTTTTTTTTCCTTGAAAAAAATTTATTCATGCCTTAAAATAGCTTGAATGTAACTCTACACCCCAGCCTCATTTAGTATATGTGGTTCTATGAATATGCAAATTAGCCCTGCCTCAAGCTCACTCACACCAGCTGTGTTGATTGCATACAAGGCAGTTTGTGACATCAGAAACACCAGCGATTTCAAACTGTGATTTTGAGGTGAAATTACTTTTTGAATCTGAAATGTATTTTTGAAAATTAATTTGCACATGGTTAAAAGCATCTTAAAGCATTACAACACCACACAGACGTATAAACAACATTAAAAGCTTGATTTTTATTTTTTTTAATTTATTTTTTTTAACCACAGAGGGACTTTAAGCAGACAGTCTAATTCTCTTATGACTAATAGTTGACATGTAGTTGCACAATTAATTATATTTAGTAGAATACCAAAGGTGGACTATCAAAATAAAGTTCTACCAATTTTTATTTAAAAAAAAGTTAATTATTGCCATTTTTCTGTCTATATTTGGCTTTCTGAAACAGTACGGTCTGACACCTCTGCATGTAGCTGCTCACTATGATAACCAGCAGGTGGCGATGATGCTTTTGGATAAAGGGGCCTCACCTCATGCTACTGCTAAGGTGCTAATCTTAAATTGATTGAAAAATATCAAAATATCTTACGCCGAATCCAGCAATACCACAAACATGTATTACATGATGGTTTGTGTTAATCTCTTTCTGTGCAGAATGGCTATACACCTCTCCACATTGCGTCAAAGAAGAACCAGACTCAGATTGCCTCTGCGCTGCTTCAGTATGGAGCAGAGACAAATGCATTGACCAAGCAGGGTGTGAGTCCGTTACACCTGGCCTCTCAGGAGGGGCACACAGAGATGGCTTCCCTACTGCTGGAGAAGGGTGCACACGTCAATGCTGGCACTAGGGTGAGATCTAGAGCCATAGATATGTATATATGTAGATTCCACATTCGACCACTCCAGACACGTCAAAGCGCCTGCCATCTTGGAACGGTTAACATGACAGTGTTCATCACTCACACTAACCACTCAATGAATTTTCATTGAATATGCATTGTGCAGCCTATCCTTCAGTCCTAAAAAAATCCTTCAGTGATACCCCTGAACTTATTTACCATATTTTTTTCATCCAAACTGACTATTATAAATGTTGAGTTGACACTAGCTATGTTTACATGGACAGTTTTTGTTTTAATCAGAATTAAATCACACATGAATTCTAAATTAAGTGATCTGGTTGATCTAATCTAATCTTTTGACATGAGCACACTGCACGAATATACAGAGTATCCCGCTGTTGGCGCATACAAATCATCATCTTGCCATCGCTTCTTTTCTTTGTTTTAAAAAGCAGACTTAATATTTATCTATTTCGGGTCCTGATTGGGAGACGACGAGCACACGAAGCTTTGAGCTGTGCTGCTTTTATTTATCAAGCTGTAAAAACGCCATTTCCCGTGCCCAAAACAACACATCTGTGGATGAGAGTCCTAAGCAAGGACTACTGGGACAACATTCTCCTGCAGCACTTCACAGACGATAAGTGCAATGATAATTTTAGAATGACACGACAGTCATTTATTACACTGTGTTCGATTCGAACAACATCATTTTTTTTTTTACAACATCATCAATGCCTCAACATCATTCCGGCATTTCTACATACATCATCCCACATGCAAAGAACTTTACAGTTTCGGTTCTCAGTCCGACCAAGTGTTTATATGTCCTATAGAATGGATTACAAATGGTTTAAACCACCCCTTACAATCCAAATGACATATTAATTGGATTTGGCCAATTCATTCCAGTTTTTTTTTTTTATTCCAACTAGTCCGATTACAAACGAATTAGGGGTCCCTGTAAACAGAGCGTCCCCATATTGACTGTTCTCCAGTCCACTTGTGCATTAGCTAATTAGTTAAACCATACTTTTGGTTCATAACTTTGCTAACCTGGGCCAGGGGAAAAAAATATTGTCATGTAGACTGACCAATCAGAAAGAAGTATTCCACGGAGCCACGCAATAAACACGAGTTGGTTCATAATTTATTTTTTCTCTCTTTTTTTTTCAGAGTGGTCTTTCTCCTCTTCACCTCTCTGCTCAGGAGGACAGAGTGCGGGTGGCTGAAATACTCGTCAAGCACGATGCCAACGTAGACCAGCAGACTAAAGTAACCATGACTACTGTGGTTCTTGACTGTATTTTTATTTTTTTTAAATAATCATTTGGAAAGAAAGCGTCAAGATATGTTACATTTCAGATAATGTGAAATTTGGTTGTTTCTTCTAGTTGGGCTACACTCCTCTTATTGTTGCTTGTCACTATGGAAATGTAAAAACAGTTAATTTCCTTTTGCAAAATGGAGCTAACGTCAATGCAAAAACTAAGGTAAGAGTTTAATATATATATATATATATGATTTTATTTTATTATGTGACTTGATAACCCAATTATGTAATAAACTATTCATTTAATCTTTTTCAGTAATGAACTATTTGAACAATGATTGAATTAATGGATGGATGTTGATTGGTTTTTAAAGTACTGAAATTGTTTTATTATATGAATTATACACAGCAAGCACGCTGGTATTTATCTACTTATTATTGTATATTATTATTTGTATATATTAAGCTTAATATTTTATTGCTACTTTTTTTCTTGTTTTCTCAGAACTGCATGATATTAACTCGTAATTGTGAGTTATAAAGTCAGAATTGTGAGAGATAAACTCGCAATTCTGGGAAAAAAAGTTAGAATTTGACTTTATAACTCATAACTGCGAGTTTTTATCTCACAATTCTGACTTTAATTCTTGCAATTGTGAGTTTTATCACGCAATATTGAATTGCGAGAAATAAAGTCAGAATTGTGAGATATAAACTCGCAATTCTGTAAAAAAAAGTTAGAATCACGCAATATTGAATTGCGAGAAATAAAGTCAGAATTGGGAGCTGTAAACTTGCAATTGTGAGAAAAAAGTCAGAATTGTGAGATATAAACTCGCAATTATATTTAAAATTGTTTTATTCCGTGTCGGAAACAAGCTTTCATAGTTTACTGTATTGATAGCTGTTTTTTTTTTTTTTTCCAGAACGGCTACACGCCACTTCATCAAGCTGCTCAGCAGGGAAATACACACATTATCAATGTCCTGTTGCAGCATGGGGCCAAGCCTAATGCCGTCACCATGGTGAGGGACACGCTCGTACTTTCAGAAATTATATTAATACTGTATAGTTTCTCTATCCTCTAACCTCACATTCAATTTCTCTCAGAATGGTAACACAGCGCTCTCTATCGCTAAACGTCTGGGGTACATCTCAGTGGTGGACACTCTGAAAGTTGTTACTGAGGAAATAATCACAACAACCACCGTACGTATCCTTGACTTTACATATTAAGACCTTTTGATGTGTGCATAAACAGTAGAGTGTGTACGTTGAATGACTTGTTAATTTCAACTACTGTAGACGGTGACAGAGAAACACAAAATGAACGTTCCAGAGACCATGACAGAAGTTCTGGATGTGTCTGATGAGGAGGGTAAGATGCTGTGTTTTATTAACTTGTATTATGCATAGTCAGGATTTCATATGTCTATGTAAAAGCTGATGTGCCTCTATAGCCCAGTATCAGAAGGAGGAGGAGCTTTTTACTGAAGTCTCTATGGAGATCGAAGGTATAAAGGGTATAGATATAGACTGATCCAAACTTACCTCTATTACTAACAATATTGCATTTGCCAAAAATCTGTTCGGTCCGTTCTGTATCTTTTCCGACGTATGGTTTGCAGTTTGTGTGTTAACTGCAACCAGCATGATTATTGTGTGTAGAAAACTAAACCATGGAAAACTAACTTTGTTCTTAGTTATTTGTGCTTATCTGGGGTTCATTTTTCAGGGCTGCAAACTTGTCACCTTTTGGCAAAATTCGCCATTTTAATCCAAAATAGGTCATGTGTGTGATTTGTGTAGATCCGGCGAGTTTTTAAAATGGTGGTGGGAGGTAGGTTTCCATTCCATGTGTGTGTGAATGTGTGAAAGGCAGGGGTTTCAATTTCCAACATATATATATATTTTTTTTGGAGCTGCAGCATTGAGGATTGTAGCCAATCATAGGCATCTCTGTTAAAAGCAATGGCCAATCGGAGGTGTTTAATGTATCTTAGTCAGAATCTAATCTGAAAGGGTTTTTGTTTAATGCAACTTCACTGAGTGCATTCTTCAATCTCATCCTCTCATCATAACCACATATTTGTCACGTTTTTCACGTTTGCATATCTTATTTTTAAAATCATAAAATGAGAATACATGATATCTGTTGGGCGCTGAGCATTTTAATTAATAATACCTACATAATGAGTTGGTGTTGCTTATTACGGCTGTGATCACTAATATTGCTCATATTAGATGACAGAATAAAAAAGCAAATTAATATGTTAAATATAAATAACAATAATAGATACATTCATCTTTATATTTTTAAATGGGTTTTATTTTGTCCTTTCTGTCTCTCTTTTTTTAAATCTTTACCATCACAAATCTGAAGGTTCATAACAAATCTTAATTTCAAAAGGATTCTGTTTCATTTGCATTTATATTGGATCAGAAATCCAAAGAAATTGAAATAAAGGCAGTCATTTGATCAGCCCATACTCAGTTCATTAGTCTGTCAAATTGACCGTATTAATGTATTAACAATCCGTAATGTAAATGTGTGTATGAGCAGGTGAGGACACTATGACAGGTGATGGAGGGGAGTACCTGAGAGCAGAGGACCTGAGAGAACTTGGTGATGACTCTCTACCGGGACACTACCTGGACGGCATGAGCTACACCCACAACTTAGACCGGTAAAGGAAATTTACACACACAAAACAATATTTAACTTTTCAACAAACAAGCTAATTCCTTCTATAAGCTTATTACAGTTAGCCCCGCCCCCCAACACAACATTGGTTGAGACAGATTTCATTTAAACATTGGTTGATGTTTCTGGGGATTTGGCTCTCACAAATACACACATAATGCTGTCTTGCCCACATGCTTGCATTGTCCTACCACAGGTCCCATGAGACCCCCAGTCATCTTGCTTACAGGGGTGAAGGAATCTTGATTGAGGACATGATCTCCAGCCACCAGTTTCATAAGGTGAACTATCGCACCTCGTATGTACTTCTCATTTAACATTTGGGCCAGTGTTGTTGTCATTAACTGAAACTATTAGTAATTGAAATAAAGATGAGGTAAAATAAAACATAAATATTACAGTACATTAAAAAAATGCCTTTGTAGCTTACTGAAATTAATACATATAAGTACTAAAATTACTAACTAAAATTTAAACCGATAAATATAAAAAATAAAAGCTCATTCAAAATGACAAAACAAACAAAAATACTATAATTGACGCTTCAAAAAGTGATTTTGAATAGTGAAAAAAAAAATATTTTTGTCCAATAAGAGACTAGATCGCTTTATATGATGAACAGATTTAATTTAGGCTTTCTGTCAATGGAGGGACAGACATCTCTCAGGTTTCATCAAAAAGATCTTAATTTTTTTTCCGAAGATGAACGAAAGTCTTATTGGTTTTACTAACTATTTAAATTAAAGCAAAAAATATAAAAATAAAGGCTGCTAAAAATGTTTTTCTATAATAGAATATTAATAATAGTAAGTAGGCTTTAAGTTTTTGTCTCATGATATGTTATAGTCTGATTTTGTCGTTGTCAGGTATCAGCGTTCTCTCGAGAGCATGAGAAGGACTCGTATCGACTGAGCTGGGGTGCTGAACATCTGGATAATGTGGTGCTAACCAGCACTCTTCTGCAGTCAGGGTTAGTAGGTTTCATACACATTCAAAAAGACAAACACACACTTTCCTCCCCTGTCCTATACAAGGTGTGTATCCTTATCCAAAGCAGGCATTGCATTAGATGCCACTCTTATGGACCATAAATGATATCTGCTCAAGTTCCTCTCATATTGTTGTTTAATGGTCTTTGTTTTTTCGTTTATTACACTCACATCATCTCCCTAAATCACTCTCGGCCTTTCTCTGTGCTGTTCGTGATTGTGTTTCTGTTCTGCTTTTAGCCAATCAACCCCATGCCTTGACCATGACAACAGCAGGTGACACTTCTCTTCCTTGTGCCCCTTTTCTTCCTCTCTTCATCTACCTTTATTACATTATTGCATGTATTTTTAACAACTGGCCACTTTGAGCTTTTTTAAATGAGCCTATTTGTGCCTATTCAATATTAATAAGCATGTTTTAATGAATACAGTTACTCATCTCTCAATTGACAGTAAACAACACTCCTCAAAAGTTTGGGGTCTGGAAGATTTTTTAAAAACTTTTATTCAGCAAAAACGCATTAAAATGACCAATGTGCCATTTGACAGCAATGATATGTAAAATGTTAGTTTTAAACTGTTTTCAACATAATAAGATTTCTTGAGCACTAAATCAGCATGTTAGAATGATTTCTGAAGGATCATGTGACACTGACGATTGTAATGATGCTGGAAATTCAGCTTTGTGTCATAGGAATAAATTACATTCAGAAATTCTCAAATAAAAAATAGTTATTTTAAAAAAAATAATAATATTTTATAATATTATGTTTTTTTTTTATAATAATGATATGGTAAAAAAAATATAATCATTTTTTTTTTATCAAATACATGCAGTATTGGTTAGCATAAGTGACTTTCAAACATGAAAAATAATTAAAAAAAATCTTACAGAACCCAAACTTTGGAACGGTAGTATACGCCAGTGAGTGTGTAATTTTACAACACATAATGGCAATGCAATCAGATGAAATGAGTGTTCTGAGTTTAACAGAAGTTATTCCTGAAACAGAAAACAACTGGAACCGGGAACATTTCTGGTGAAGTGTGTAATTTCTAATAGCACCAAGGAGAATAGCAAAATTAATGATTGTTTACAAACATATGGAAGCCTTTAAAATAACTTTGGGAAATGAGACAGAGAAGTAATAATGCAAGGTGGCGTCCATAAGTTTAAAAACAAGAATCTGCACACTGAATGTATTTATTCCTGTTTTTTTTTTATTTCTGGGTTAAGTATCATTGCATTGTGTTTCACTGTTACTTGCTGTTGTTCTATATAAACAGTTTCCTGGTGAGTTTCATGGTGGATGCTCGCGGCGGAGCCATGCGTGGCTGTCGGCACAATGGGCTACGCATTATTGTGCCACCTAGAAAGTGCTCGGCCCCGACACGGGTCACATGTCGTCTGGTGAAGAGGCACAGACTGGCCTCTATGCCCCCTATGGTGGAGGGAGAGGGGCTCGCAGGCAAGATCATTGAAGTTGGACCCACCGGAGCCCAGTTTCTTGGGTAAGCGGGTGCAAAGGTTGAAACTGAACATTTATGCTGTATCACCATGAACATTTTTGTCTACTTTTGTGTATGTATGGCACAGTTATATGTTCTCTATTTTGTCTCGTCTTGACTGACAAAGCAGAACTGTATGCCAACATGTTTGATGTGTCCTAACCAGAAGTGATGTTACAAGTTTCCAGACAATTTGTTTGTCTACACTGAATCAGCTGTGCAATGTGATGTAGTTTTAGCCAATAAAACTGTTTATTTTGTAAATTTTGGACCAATGAGATTCAGTCTATGGGGCTACTGGGCATCAGTATTATTTCAGTAATATTTATATATTATTATAATATTTATTCATATTTTGAATTAGCTTTTATATTTTCAGTTTTTACTTTTAGGTTAAGTTTTAGTAATTTTGTTTTTATTATACACACACACACACACACATATATATATATATATATATATATATATATATATATATAAAAGACTGAAATAAAAATATATTAAAGCAATATTTTTTTTTTGTTTAACATTTCTAGTTTTTTTTTTTTTATTTATCTATATTTTATTATATTTGTACTCTTTTTCAATCGTTTTTTTATAGTTTTCTTTTAATATTTTTCTTTTAATACAATAACAACACTGCTGGGCATGGCACTGCTGAGAGCAAGCGACCTGGTTAAAGGAGTAGTTCACTTTTGAAAAAACTTTTGCTGATAATTTACTCACCCCCATGTCATCCAAGATGTCCATGTCATTCTTTCTTCAGTCGAAAAGAAATTAAGGTTTTTGATGAAAACATTCCAGGATTTTTCTCCATATAATGGACTTCAGTGGGAACCAAAAGGTTCAAGGTCCAAATCTTTTTCCGAGTCATTTGGTTCATTCAACGAACGAAACGAACGGATTGACTCGGAAAAAGATTCACTCATTTTGATGAACGAGTTCGAACAGGAGAGTCACGAACGCGCATCGCAGTACAGAGCAAGGCGAGCATTTGAGCTAATAAACTTAAACTTTGTTATTTATTAATTAAATGAGCAATCGTTTCGCTTGATAAGACCCTTATTCCTCATCTGGAACCGTTTAAAGCCCTTTGAACAGTTTGCAGTTTGTACTGAAACCTTGACCTTGAGCTGTTTGGTTCCCACTGAAGTGAATTATATGGAGAAAAATGCTGGAAAGTTTTCATAAAAAAAAAACTTAATTTCTTTTCGACTGAAGACAGAAAGACATGGACATCTTGGATGACATGGGGGTGAGTAAATTATCAGCAAAAGTTTTTTCAAAAGTGAACTACTCCTTTAAGACAAAAACTCATGAAAGGGCTTTTAGTGTTCGTCTGGTTAGGACACTTGTCATCGCTAGTTTGGAGAAATAACAACAATGTTCCTCTCTCACTAAATCTGAGTTCAGGAAATCAGGTTCACAGTGTGCCTTATTTTTTTCCACATCTTTTTGAATGGCTGCGATCGGAACAGTAAACTCCACCTCCCAACAGCCCCTCCTCCTCTTAATGAGGGTGAAAGTCTTGTCAGCAGAATTCTGCAGCTGGGGCCACCCGGCACCAAATTCCTCGGGTAGGAGAGATCCTAATGCCAAATATCCACTGGATACCGGTCACATTTCCCCCTGATTTTTTTAAAATACACCTCCATCTCCAAGATGTCATATTCTTTTTATTTTGTCCCTTTTTTATATATAGTTTTGTGAGTTAGTTTTTATCATTCCGAAATAGAGCTGTTCCATGGATTTACCTTTTCCTCCCTTGCTGTATTTTGATATCATTTGTTATTTATTGCTATTCTTTTAATGTATTTGTCATGTTCTGTGTGTCTGCTGTATATATCGCATTATCCATTGTTATGTTTACTCTCTTTTTCTACCTTGCTGCATGCTGCATTTTCCTGTCTGTATGTCCTCCACAGATGCAATATCTGTTTCTGAACTGAACAACCCTAAATTTAAGCTGTCTAAAGCCATACATTAGTTTGTCTGAAATAGCACCCCTTATGTTTACAGGCCTGTAATAGTAGAGATCCCTCACTTTGCTGCATTGCGTGGGACAGAGAGAGAGTTAGTGATTCTGCGCAGTGAGACTGGAGAGAGCTGGAGAGAACATCACTGTGAACATACAGAAGAGGAGCTCAATCAGATACTCAATGGCATGGACGAAGGTGAGTGTGTCCTGAATGCACAGAGACACTTGTTTAATTAGCACACCTTAAATTTGCTCTTACACTTACAGTATAGTAAACTCGGCCAGTGGTGTACCACAGAAAAATTGGTTGCAATATACAGTAAAAACAGATGGACCTGTTTTCTATTTGAATATATTTTAAAATGTAATTTATTACTGTGATGCAAAGCTGAATTTTCAGTGTCACATGATCAATCAGAAATTTGCTGATTTAGTGCTTTGAAACATTTACTTATTATCATCAATGTTGAAAACAGTTGTGCTGCCTATTATTTTTGTGGAAAGCATCATACATTTATTTCAGGATTCTTGTTTGTAACATTATAAATGTATTTAATGTCCCTTTTGATCAATTTAATGCTTATTTGCTGATTAATTTATTTATTAGTTGCAAAGGTGATTTAGTACAGAAGTGTGGCAACTACTGGTTTGGGTTGGATTGAAAGTGTATTCTGTGTGAGAGTAACTGTTCACCATTTAAGTACACTTAATTGTATAAACCCTAAACGATTTAATTTAACGCATACCTTAAATCATGCTCAATCTTCTTTGACAACTAATTTTATATTAGACGAATTGCACAAAAAAAAAATATTAAGAGATATTATTTGTGATTTTCACACCAGAACTGGACAGTCCTGAGGAGCTGGAGAAAAAGCGAATATGTCGCCTTATCACCCGGGATTTCCCACAATACTTTGCTGTGGTGTCCCGCATTAAACAGGACAGTCACCTGATTGGTCCAGAGGGTGGGGTGCTAAGCAGCACACTTGTTCCACAGGTCCAGGCTGTGTTCCCCGAGGGAGCCCTGACTAAACGGATACGTGTGGGACTACAGGTGATTCCCACTGTGCTTTGCAAGCCTGAGCATTGACCTTATAATGTATAAAGAAGAGGTTTTTTTTTATTTTATTTAGCTTTTGACATGTTTTTAAAGTCAGTTTTATACACACGTTATGTTGACGGCAACACTGTACAATTTTTATGATTATTTATTACTCCATCTGTGTCAATAAAACTGATTCACTTGATTTCGGGCTGTATGCAGGAGCATTTTTATTATTTTAGTAAAGGTTAAAACTGCTAAATTAAAACAAAGTCATTATATTAGAAACAGATCTAACCATGTTGGTAACACTTTACTTGAAGGGGTGTGCATAAGACTGACATGACAACTTCATAACTATGACATGACACATGTCTTGAATATGAAGTAGGGTTTATGCATGTTTATGACAGCTGTCATTAAGTGTATTTCACTCAATTATGACATTTTGAATGCTCATTGTTTAGGATGTCTTTGTTATGACAACTTGACATAAACCAATACATCATAACCTGTCAGTGTCTTTGTCATGACAACTTGACATAAAATGAAGTTAAACTGTCATGTGGTTGGCTTTGGCATTGGCTGTCATGAGGCCATTATAACTGTGGCATGAATATTCTTCTTGACCTCAACTACAGTGGTACTAATTGAATTTGTCATTAAAACGTTATAATGGTTTCATGACAGCCAATGTCAAAACCAACCACCTGATAGTTTAATGTAATGTTAACCAATAAAGCTAGGTGGTTTCTTAAGTTTGATAATTAATCTGCTATGTCACGTTTATGACAGGTTGTGTTGTCTTAGTAATGTCAAGTTGTCATGACAAAGGCACTGACAGGTTATGATGTATTGGTTTATGTCAAGGTGTCACAATAAAGACATCTCAAACAATGTAATTTTGCATTAAAAATGTCATAACTGAGCGAATGACACTTAATGACAGTTGTCATAAACATGTATAAAACTTCCTTCATATCCATTATGTCATGTCATGATTATGAAGGTGTCATGTTATTCTTATGCACACCCCTTCAAGTAAAGTGTTACCAAAATGTTTTATTTTATTGAAAAAGTCAATTAAACAAAATTATATATTGTTTAGAGAGGCAGGGATAATGATAGATGGAAATGAAAAATGCCCTCTCAATCTCATCCTTCATTAGGCCCAGCCCATCAGTGAGGACCTGGTGAGGAAGATCCTGGGTAGTAAGGCTACGTTCAGCCCAATTGTTACGTTGGAACCCAGAAGACGCAAGTTTCACAAGCCCATCACCATGACCATTCCTGTCCCTAAAAGCCCATCCAGTGACGGGACCAGCAGTACACCCACTCTACGACTGCTATGTAGCATTACTGGTATGTGAGAATAAAGTTTATCCAGTTTGTCCATCAATTTGGGCCCTCACCGGAACAGCCAGGCTTAAGAACAGCTCTTTCCCTCAGGCTATGTTCCACCTTAACAACACTTAACACAAAACTGTCCATCTGTAAATAGCATATCTGTACATTCATATTTCTGTCCACTGGTATATTTTTTTCTGTTGTAGTGTTTTAATATTATATATTTTTTAATTTCATTGTCTTATCTCTTTATTATTGATGTTATATTTCATTGTATTACCTTAATTTCTATATATGTCTGTACCTTTTCTGCACTGGAAGCTCCTGGCACCAAGATAAATTCTTTGTGTATGTAAACACACTTGGCAATAAAGCTTTTCCTGATTCTGAATTATCCAAGAGAGAAAAAAAAAATCATGTGGCAAGGTGTGAATAGTTCAATTTATTTTCCAGGAGGGACAACTCCAGCACAGTGGGAGGACATAACTGGATCCACACCTCTGACATTCATCAACCAGTGTGTTTCATTTACCACCAATGTATCAGCAAGGTGAGTTCTGCTGCAGTGACATCTGTTGACTGGTTTCCTTTGACAAATGGTTAAATAAATGTTTGTTTTTTTCTCCCAGGTTCTGGCTCATAGATTGCCGTCAGATCCAGGAGTCTGTGAACTTCTCCAGTCAGCTGTATCGTGAGATCATCTGTGTGCCCTATATGGCCAAGTTTGTCATCTTCGCCAAGACTTTAGACCCCATCGAAGCACGACTCCGCTGCTTCTGTATGACGGATGATAAGATGGACAAAACTCTGGAGCAGCAGGAGAACTTCACCGAGGTGGCTCGTAGTCGAGATGTCGAGGTAAGTGTGGTTTAGCTAGGCTTGTCGCAACAAAAAGTGCCATTGACAAGAACATTTTCTAAATGTTGGTATATTTATCTCTACAGGTACTAGAGGGAAAGCCAATCTTTGCCGACTGCTTTGGAAATCTGGTCCCACTGACCAAAAGTGGACAGCACCATGTGTTCAGTTTCTATGCCTTTAAAGAAAACCGTCTTTCTCTATTTATCAAAGTAAGAACTTTGTTATTTGAAGGACTATTTATAGTAGATAACTATGGGAGACAAAGCACAAAAAGGCACTGAGTTACAAATCTTTAAACAGATGTGTTACAGCACTCCACATTGCCCCCTACTAGTTTAAATATGATGCTAAATGTCTCTTGGTGGTCAGAAAAGTCACAGAATGGTTGTTTCAACAGATTCGTGACAGCACTCAAGAACCATGTGGCAGACTGTCTTTTACAAAAGAGCCAAGAACATATCGCAGTCTAAACCACAATGCAATATGCAACCTGAACATCTGCCTACCTATCTACTCAAAGGTAAGTGCAAATTAACTCGCATTGCCTATACATTTGCATACATAGACACAAAAAGCCAATACCTTTTATTCAAATGATATTTAGTTTCGCCATTTTTAATCTGAAATTTAATTTTTACTCTTTAGGAATCCGATTCTGACGAAGATGCAGATGTAGAGGTGCCTATTTTGATAATCATTTATTTTAATGTTTTCTTTGCAAAAAGAAACTTTAAGACATTTTTCGTGTTTTCAATCCTATTAACTTTCTCTGTTTTAATCTAATTTCTTCATAGAGTGAGAAGACACATGAGAAATGTAAGCAATATTTAAGTCAATAGTTTAATTAAAATGAAAAGTATGTAAACCTGGGCAAAAAAAAAAAAGAAAAAAAAAAGGAAAAAGGCCTAGTCCCAAGCCTAAAATGGTTAAACACTAAGCTTTTAATTGTCTTAACCACAAATTATTGGTCAGGAAATCAGCTACATTTAAGCAAATGCACTACTTAAAAGCCATTTCTGTCTCAGAAAAAAAAAAAATCAAATATGTTCCTATATTTTTGGCAGAAGTTTTGGGAAGTTTAATTCAGTGTGGTTCAGCTGATTTATGTGAAGCTCATGTTTTGGCCTGGTCAGAGTCCAGATTTAAACCCTATACTGAATATTTGGTCTCACATTAAACAAACTAGGAGACATTTTAAACTACTCATGAACAGTTTGAAGTCATTAACATTAACACTAAGGGGGACAAAGGGGAGACTAATCCATGCTAAGTTACTTTATCTATAGTATTTGTGCAATTTTTGCTCATCTCCTGACAAGTCATTTGTGATTAAAATGGTTAAAGGGATAGTTCACCCAAAAAATCTTTCAGTATTTACTCACCCTCATGTTGTTCCAACCCCGTAAGACCTTCGTTCATCTTTGGAACACTTGCGGAATTAAGATATTTTTGATGAAATCTGAGAGGATCACTCCTCCATAGGCTTCTTGAGGGATTGAAACTTGCTGGCCTCGAAAAGTTATTAAAGACATAGTTAGAATAGTCCAAGTGACTACAGTGGCTCAATCTTAGGTTTATCAAACGACGAGAATACTTTTTGTGCGCAAAAACAAAAATAAATAACAACTTTATTTCAACTATTCACTTCCTTCTCTATGGGCCTCTAGTCAGTTAACGTAGTGTGATAGCGATAGCTCACTATTGGCCGACGCTGGTCATGTGTGTGATGCGTGTGACATACAACAACAGATCATACACTGTTAAACTAGCAACCTGACTCGAGGCCCAGAGAGAAGGAAATGAATAGCTATTTGAAATAAAGTTTGTTTTTTGTGCACAAAGTGTTCGTCGTTTGATAAATATAAGATTGAGCCACTGTAATCACTTGGACTATTTTAACAATGTCTTAAAAAACTTTTCGAGGCCGGCAAGTTTCAATCCCTCAAGAAGCCTATGGACTACAGTAGTATGGATGAGTGATACAGCTCTCAGATTTCATCAAAAATATCTTAATTCGTGTTCCGAAGATGAACGAAGGTCTTACGGGGTTGGAACAATATGAGGGTGAGTAAATACTGACAGAATTTTCATTTTTGGGTGAACTAACCCTTTAAGACCATTAAAAGACCACTAAATATTTTGACCTTTTTTTCTGCCTAGGAGTGTATATACTGCGTTTTCTCACATTGTTTTGTAACCTCCATAATACATTGTTTGAAATATTATAGAAAACAAATTTATATGTGATTTTAACATTATAATTGTATTTGTGGATCCCTGACTGCTGTGCTATGGCTGATAAACATCCCTTCTTCCATTTTTTATTTTTTTCATCTGCTGTTCTCATAAAACATTACATTCAATTATATTCTCTTACAGTGGTATCTTCCTTCTGGCATGATGATTTCTAAAATGGTTAATGAGTTTAAAATCAAATTGGTTACATGCCAAAAGAGATACTGGAAAACAAACCATTCTCCCCGAAAAGAAAATTACTCTGACCAGGCATATATTATTTTGCCTGTGATGAAATCACATAATTTGCTTGCCACAAGTCACCTTTGCATGGATAATTTCCCTTGCATGGAAATAACTTGACTGACACATATTATATTATTGTATATGTATGTGTGTGAGTGAGTCTGCTCAGCCTGTATGCGTGGATACCTTTTTTGAAAACATGCATAATTTGTGTAACATTTTTATCCCTGTCACTCTCATTCTTTATTTGATTTGATTCACTCTTGTTTATTATTGCTTTCCTAAATTTTCCTTATCATTTACCTCAGTCTTTTAACAAATTCCCATATGTTCCTTCATGATTGACTCAAAGCCATAGCATTTGATAATTCAATGCCAATTCATGTTTTATGGGAAAAACCTCTGATTGTATCTCGGTGCTGTTTTTAAGGGCTTTGAACATGTTTCGAACATGCTGTCTGTGTTTTTGTTGACATGAGCTCTTCATGTCGAGAACAATCTTGAGATGCCTCATTGGTACAGCTCCACTCTGTGTTATGATTACTTTCCCCATTTGTTCTTTGTGCACAGGTTTCTGTATTACTTATTCTTTCCCTTTGTTTTTCTTTATACTTTCCCTCTTGTGCAAGTGAATGAGTGGATACTTGAAACAATATAACGTGTTTAAGCAAGTTATTTCCTGCCCATTTCCTCTCCTCACTCTGTAATTCTTCTTTGCTTTGCTTAACTGCTCCCATGCCTTCCCAAATCCTTTGGATCCAAATCTAGATAAATATGCAATATTTCATCATTCTGTCAAGTAGTTTCCTTATCATCTGAACTGAAGACAGTTTGTATTGCTCCTGCCCTGACTAGTTTTCCAATGTCTTTTGTCCTCTTCATTTCCCATTTGTTCTTTTAAACAACTCTTTGTGCTGTTAAAATGGAAGATTATGATGGATCTGACACAACAGAGTTTTCTATGATGCAAATCATACATGACCCTGCCACACTCGCAAGTCCAGATCTGCTTTCAGACGTGTCCGATATGAAGCAGGACCTGATTAAAGTGTCAGTCCTTCTGACCTCTGAAAAATCTGAAATATCGTGCTCGTCGGATGCCAGAGAGAGATCAGACAAGGCTAGGGAAGAAGAAGTGGACGAGCCATTTGAAATTGTTGAAAAAGTGAAAGAGGACTTGGAAAAGGTAGAAGAGATCCTCCGTGAGGGAACAATGGATGACACAAAGAGGGAAAGTGCTATTGGGATATCTGTAACCATTGATGGTGATGAGTGGGTACTTCTCGGTGAGACAGATGTTGAAGAATCCAAAAGCAAAAACATCACTGAAGACCAAGAGACACTCATTCAGGAAGTTCGAATCACAAGAGACACTATATCAAGTTCTTTTCCTAAGAGGGATATGTCAGGTATGGTTTCATATCTCAGTGGTGACTTAGAACAATGTCTGCAGGAACCTGTACCATTTAGTCATTCACAAGATGTAGATATTGTTCAAGAAAGCTTTAAAGAGGTATTTGTTGCCCGTGCTAAACACCGTCCAGCAGAAATCAAAAAGCCAGTGAGGAAAAAGCGTAAAGAGAGGGAGTTTGCAAGTGGCAGTTCTGAAGATGACCTGGAAAGGATGAGTAGGAGTCAGTCTGAGGAGTCTCTTGATGAAGATGCAGTTATTGGTGGATCTGGACCTGTCTTTTTATCGGGTCCTGTGTCTCCTAGAGTTGTAGAAACTCCAATTGGATCCATTAAAGACAGGGTTAAGGCACTGCAGATGAAGGTTGAAGAAGAAAAGGAGGTGGACAATCAAAACTGGAAAGTGAATACTTCCCAGGGTAAGCCATATGTCAAAGAGGCAGAAAAATCAACCAATCTTCCTCCAAAATCCCCCAGATCTCCAAAGTCACAGACAGAAAGGCTGGAAGAAACCATGTCTGTAAGAGAACTGATGAAGGCATTTCAGACTGGCCAAGATCCATCAAAAAGCAAGTCTGGACTTTTTGAACATAAAGCAATTACGGTTGTAACCTCTGAGATGGCAACTTCTGATGTGACGCAGGTTCCCCCAACATATGATTACCAAATGACAGTAACAGCTCAACATTTACAAGAAGAAGCAATTACCACTGAGACCTCTGAAAAGGCAAGTCCTAATGTAACACAGATTTCTCCGACATATGACAGCCAACTAACAGGAACAACCCAACATTTACAAGAAAGAGAAAATACGTCTGAGACCTCTGAAACGGCAAGTCCTACCGTAACACAGATTTCTCCGACATATGACAGCCATCTGACAGTCACAACCCAACATTTACAAGAAAGAGCAATTACGACTGAGACCTCTGAAACGCCAAGTCCTATTCTAACACAGATTCCTCTGACAAGTGACAGTCAACTAACAGTAACAACCCAACATTTACAAGAAAGAGAAATTACGACTGAGAGCTCTGAAACGGCAAGTCCTCTCATAACACAGATTTCTCCGACATATGACAGCCAACTAACAGTAACAACCCAACATTTACAAGAAAGAGAAAATATGACCGAGACCTCTGAAACGGCAAGTCCTATTGTAACACAGATTCCTCTGACAAGTGACAGTCAACTAACAGTAACAACCCAACAATTACAAGAAAGAGAAATTACGACTGAGAGATTTGAAACGGCAAGTCCTACCATAACACAGATTTCTCCGACATATGACAGCCAACTGACAGTCACAACCCAACATTTACAAGAAAGAGCAATTACGACTGAGACCTCTGAAACGCCAAGTCCTATTGTAGCACAGATTCCTCCGACAAGTGACAGTCAACTAACAGTAACAACCCAACATTTACAAGAAAGAGAAATTACGACTGAGAGCTCTGAAATGCCAAGTCCTACAGTAACACAAATTTCTCCGACATATGACAGCCAACTGACAGTCACAACCCAACATTTACAAGAAAGAGCAATTACGACTCAGACCTCTGAAACGCCAAGTCCTATTCTAACACAGATTCCTCTGACAAGTGACAGTCAACTAACAGTAACAACCCAACATTTACAAGAAAGAGAAATTACGACTGAGAGCTCTGAAACGGCAAGTCCTACCGTAACACAGATTTCTCCGACATATGACAGCCAACTAACAGTAACAACCCAACATTTACAAGAAAGAGCAATTACGACTGAGACCTCTGAAACGCCAAGTCCTATTCTAACACAGATTCCTCTGACAAGTGACAGTCAACTAACAGTAACAACCCAACATTTACAAGAAAGAGAAATTACGACTGAGAGCTCTGAAACGGCAAGTCCTATCATAACACAGATTTCTCCGACATATGACAGCCAACTAACAGTAACAACCCAACATTTACAAGAAAAAGAAAATATGACCGAGACCTCTGAAACGGCAAGTCCTATTGTAACACAGATTCCTCCGACAAGTGACAGTCAACTAACAGTAACAACCCAACAATTACAAGAAAGAGAAATTACGACTGAGAGCTTTGAAACGGCAAGTCCTACCGTAACACAGATTTCTCCGACATATGACAGCCAACTGACAGTCACAACCCAACATTTACAAGAAAGAGCAATTACGACTGAGACCTCTGAAACGCCAAGTCCTATTGTAGCACAGATTCCTCCAACAAGTGACAGTCAACTAACAGTAACAACCCAACAATTACAAGAAAGAGAAATTACGACTGAGAGCTCTGAAACGGCAAGTCCTACCGTAACACAGATTTCTCCGACATATGACAGCCAACTGACAGTCACAACCCAACATTTACAAGAAAGAGCAATTACGACTGAGACCTCTGAAACGGCAAGTCCTAATGTAACACAGATTACGACTGTTGTAACCTCTGAAACGTCAAGTTCTGATATGATGCAGGTCCCTCCTACATATGATAAACAAATGACAGTATCAACCCAACATTTACAAGAAAAAAATGTTGTAGAAAACAAAATCATTCAAGAATCATATTTTGACCCAAACACAATTCAATGTAAACCAATGGTCGATGATGGTGAAACAGTAAACAGTACTTTTTTAAACAGTACTTTGTCCATCCAAAATACAGAAGGTGATCCAGCTATAACTTCCAACATTATCTTTAACTTTAAAGAGGAAACCTCTCGGGAAGACCTGCTCTCTGAGCTTACATCAATGGACCAAAATGGAAAACCATCTCAGGAACAAGGCAGATTTGAGACTGAGGAACAACAAATAACTTCTGAGCTATTAGAAAATGAAGACCCAGGGCTGATTCCTGAGAGAATGTATTATGAAGATAACATCTACCAGAATAGGAGATTGTCTGTGGAACCTCAGATCAGCCCAGACAGGAAACCATCAGAAGACTTCAGCGCAGATATTAAGGCAGAACTTGAGGACAGTCCTGGATATCTGCTCTTTAGGCGGACATCGGGTGAAGCAAGTAAACGCTATTTAATGTGTAGAGATGGCCCTTCATTAGACGATGAGGAGCAGATACATCAGGTAGCTGTGGATCAAAGTAAATCAAATATTATCACTGCATTTGCTACTGCAATGGTGCAAGGTGAGCCCTTACTTAAAAGTGAAATACACGAAGACTCAGAAGAAAGTCCTGATAGTGTGAAACACGAGGCCTTGGTAGACTCTCCTGGAAATAGTACAGGAACTAGGACTCCTTACACCAGCACATGTGACAATGATACATATGATGGACTTGCTGAAACCCCTCAAAATAGCCCTGAAATCCTTGTTACTCCAACTGAAAAAACACAAGTCAGACATCAAGAGGCTAAAGAGACAACTTACCAGTCAATTTTGGTGACATCACATGAAAGAGCAGAGAGTGACAAAAGTGTCCAATTATGTTCAGTAACCGCCACAAAAAGCAAGACATCACCTTATGATTCTAAGATTGAATCACCTTCCCTATTGACCACAACTGATTCACCATCCAGTGATGACTCTAAAATGTATTCACTTTCTCCTTCCTCCAAAACGGAGTCACCATCCTCCACTAATTCGAAGACAATAGTTCAAGAGACAATTGAAGTTATGAAATGGGACAGTGAAACATCTGCACATGACATGAGAAGTGATTCATCCTATAGATATGATATGAAGCCAACAGAATTCAGTGTAATCAATGAGTCTGAGAAGATACTTCAACATTGCCATCACAGTCCAGATGCACTTGATAGACCTTCTACATTAGATTCTCTGCAACCTGAAAGCATAAGTGACTCTAAAACTCTCTGGAGAACAGACTCATTTGAGACTACTCTCATCAGAGAAGATGGTCCATCTCCAAAAACGCCAGACTCTATCGAGCCAAGCCCAAACAAGGAGTCCCCATGGCAAGACTCATTAGAGGGTAGCCCCAGTGGGGAGGAGAATGGACAATTAAGTTATATTGAAAGGGTCTTTTCAACAAGTCAGTCTTTCGCTTCTGATTCAAGAAAAAAATTAGACACAGAAAATAATTCTGAACAAGACATTTATTTAGAAAGTGAGTCCTCCCAAGGGTCCCATGAGACCCCAGAAATGCAGTGCCTTTCCATGACCCTGGAGCAAAAAGAAGAGGTACTTGACAGTGAGGATCTTCATGATTTTGATGCTTTACAAAGGCAATTCACTCCAGAAGAAGAGATGTTTAAGATGGCTGCAAAGATCAAAACATTTGATGAAATGGAAAAGGACGCAAGAGTTAAAAAGGTCAAATTTAATTTTGATTGTGATTTTAAACAATTGAAAGAAGAAAACCTGTCACCACATGAAAGTCCTCTAGACTTTGACTCAATGTTAACAAAAGATTCAGAAGAGCAGTGCTTGGAGAATCTGACTGAATCTGGCCTACAACCTTCATTGTCTGATGAGGATTATGAAAACCCTGAGTTGGAAGAGTCATCCAACAAAGTATCATATGTAACCAGTGAGATTTTAAAGACCATGGACAAAGGTGAGCAAGACCATACCCATTTGAAGACTGTGGATTTACAGACATGCACAAACATACCATCTTTGCCAACCCATGTAAACAAGGAGAAAGACTATGAACAGTTTTCTACAGAGTACCATACTACAGTGACCAGTGGGACTACACCTGAGGAGGATCTGGTTATTACATCAGCAGAAAGCAAAACAGACATTGAGATCGATGCTGATGTTGATTCCAATTCTCCTGGTGAGAGACCAACTTCTGAAAAAGAGCTAGAACTAGTTTTTCCTAATGAAATTATAGGTACTACTACTGCAGCCAAGGAAGTGCAAAATGAATCCCCGACAAATTTCTGTATTTATGAAGAGGACAATGAAGGAAAGCCAGATAAAATTCCATCATCTACTCCAAGAGACTTGGTTCCCTGGAGTGCTGAAGTGGAAGATGATGAGGCATTTGATGCACAAATTGAAGCTGAGGAGCAGAAAATACTTGCTTTGTGTACAGACAGACAATCCCATGGAACCACACCTGACACTCCTGGACGTACCCCTACTGAAGAGGGGACACCAAATCCTTTCCTTTTCCAAGAAGGAAAACTATTTGAGATGACCAGAGGTGGAGCCATTGACATGACCAAGAGGACAATGGAGGAAGAGGAAGAAAGATTAGCCTTTTTTCCAATAAATGAAGATCCAAGTGAAGATTTTGAACAAGTCAATTCCAACACTAGTGAGTCTGTTGCAGTAGCTTCATTTGAGTTGACTGCAGATGGTTTAGTGCATGAAGACAGGTTTACTGAGGAACCTGATGCAAAGTCTGATGGCTTTAGTCAAACTGGAGCCAAGATTAAACCAGAACATTCAGAACCGATTAAATTCCCTCTACAGAGTGAACTAAAGAGCCCCACAGAGGATAATGGAATCCATGAAGACACACTGATACCGAATGTTGACACTGCCACTTATACAGTAACTCGAACAGTTTATTCTGAGCAAGACCTGGAATCCTCCGACTCCTCAGTAGATGATGAACAGCATTCTGTTGTTGAAATGCCCATTTCCAACCAAGTATCAATGATTTCCTCTAGTGCCTCAGCTCATACTGTTAGTCAACAGCAATTCCAGACATCACGTTCAATGTCCACTCCATTCAAGGACATTGCTGCTGAAATCGAGGACACAACATCTAAGCCAAAAACTGCTGTGAAAGCAGCAAGCTTTGACCAAATTTTAGGACCAGGGGACTCCATTGAGCAGAATCAAAGGCCTAAATCTGAGGCAGATATTGGTATCTCAGAATGGTCCATGTCTGTTGTGGATGATCACACTAATATAGAAAGCAACTACACCAAACCAAAGATTTCATCCTCCCAGATGCCTCCACAGTATTCTGCATCCAGTCAACCTGAACTACCTGCAGAAGTCTTTCAGGAATTAGACCCTTCTAGGAACACAGAGTGTGATGAAACCAAAGGAGACAGAGCCTCTGTTGAGTTAGGGATAGAAAGTTTGAAAGCAATTCGACCCCCGTCCGTAGGCGATGATGTCTTTGAGTCAAGGGCCTACTGGGAGGATTGTGTGGAGACACAGATGCAGAGAATCTCAGACAGCACTACCCCAGACCAAAGTAAAGGTACCTCTACTTGGCACTTGCCCCCCGTATTACTTTCTCCAAAATTTACCTTAACTCCATGAAAAGTCTCTTTTCTTTATTTTTTTTTTTATTTTGTGTCTTAATTTGTTGTTCTGTGTTGTCCTGTGATTTTTGTTTTATATATTGTGGTGTTTTGTACTGTACTTTGTCTCATCTCAATATTTTCTTGTGTGTGTGTGTTTGTGTGCCATTTTTGTGACTTTTTATGTCATGTTTTATTCATTTGCATATCAGTGTGTACATGAAAACTGAAATCTCAAGATTGACTGGCTCTACTTTTTATTTTGTTGGGTGATAATTTTACAGTTTCCTTGTGCAATGCATGCCCACTACTGCATGTTTCATCTGAGAAATATTAAAACAACCATGGCAATGGCACATTTTTGTGTAAAAAGACTTACAATTTTTCATTGTGTAAAAAGAATAAATTATGGCATATAATATTATATAACTTTATAGATCTATATAAAATATATACAGTAATTATACAGGTATTCAGTCACTGTACTTTCATGCTATTAACTCTTTCCCCACCAGAATTTTTTTTTTAAGTTGCCAGTCACCGCCATCATTTTTGATAATTTCCACAAGATTTTCATGGCTCCCTGAATATTTTGTTGTATGAATAAATGAACATGCAATATATAAAAATAAAAGAACAGAGCCTCAACGTTTAAATGAACAAACAAAAAGTCTAATTAGAAAAAGCAACATTTTGAGAAAAAATCTGAGAAAAACACATTTTTGTCAAAGATTACACCTGGATCGGATTCGGAATAATGATCAAAATATAAATTGAGTAGACTGAGTCCTTCAACACCTCCAAATCTTGCACAGTCCTATACCTCGTCCTGGGGCGACATTTCATTCTGTAACATAATGCAGTTTTGATTTAATTTGTTACATTTATATAGCTTTATATAGCTTGTCTAGGTACTCAAAGCGCTTTACATGGGGAATCTCCTCATCCTCCAATACCTGGATGATGCGACGGCATTCATATTGCACCAGAACACCCACCACACACCAGCTTATTGGAGGAAAGGACACAGTGATAAAGCCAATCTGTATGGGGATGATTGGGAGGCCATGATGGACAGAGGCCAAGGGGCAAATTTGTCCAGGATGCCGTTTACATGCTGTTTAATGATGATTGCGTTATTTTACATATGCATCTGCTTACATATGCAAAAGTCTTTTCGGTACTCTTTCAGAAGATGTCATAGCGCTCCCTACCGTATAATAGTAAAAACAAAAAAAGCCGGAAAGTTCTGTTATTGGCGGGGAAGCATTGTCTCAAATGACGGACATTTACGTCAATGATGGGGAAAGAGTTAAGAAATATGTAAAACTACAACTTTTTTTGTGCTACAAAACTAGACTTAACAACAACTCTAGTCACATATTTTTGTGATATCTCAAATATCGTTAATGCATATCCCATATTATAGTAATAAACCGTACATTAGCTGTCAAAGTAGTTAAAATAGTAAATGAACAGGGTTTTGATGTTTTGAATGCATTTCTAAAATAAAATATAAATGAAAAATACTTTGATGTTACAGTGGACTGGCATGATGATGCAGATAGGAAAGAAGAGACTTTGGCCATAATTGCTGACCTTCTAGGTTTTAGTTGGACAGGTGAGTAGTATGTCAGTAAGAAGTTGCTAGAAAATCAAAACTCTTTCTGAAGCAAAAACATAATTGGATGTTTCTTTAAGAACTGGCCAAGGAGTTGGAATTCAATGAAGATGAGATTCAGCAAGTGCGTGCTGAAAACCCAAATTCATTACAAGAGCAGAGTTATGCCCTTTTGCAGCGCTGGGTAGAAAGAGAAGGAAAGCATGCGACTGGTGAGTCCTGTTTTTATTCAGTCTTATCAGTCAGAATTGAATTAATTCAATGTTATTAAAATATAAATCCTTGAAATGCATTTTAAATAATAGATTCTATTATGTCTCAAATTCCACAGAAGATACATTGATTAAAAGAATCACTAAAATAAATCGCATGGACATTGTTCATCTTATTGAGATTCAAATGCACAAGTCAATCCAGGAGCAAACCTCAAGAACATATGCAGAGATTGAAAGGACTTTAGATCACAGTGAAGGTAGGACAATGCAATTAGCATATTCTTGGTTTGCATATATATGAGAACTGCAAGATGTAAACCCTAAAAATAAGTTTGAATTAAAAGCCTTGGTCTAAAGTCTTAGAGTGTCAAAGTGGATGTTTTTGTCTTTTGTAGCTCTCTCCTCAGTCCAAGAGGATGTTGACAGTCTCCGGGTGGTGCGGAGAGTGGAGACTTCACAAAGGCATCCTCCAGCTGTGTCAGAAGAAGACTTATCTGTGGCCTCTCTCCTTGACATTCCCTCATGGGCTGAAACAATGGGAAACATCCATTCAGAGAGCATTCATGGAGATCTGATGGAGGAACTGGAGATCAACCAGTGAGCGATACACAGAGCTACTTTAATTAAATGGCATTTACAGTGATGATTGCACTCAGTTAATCAGTCTTCTGGTAGTACACAACCTGGTCATTCACTTTGCTCTCTCAATGTCTCCTAGGGACAGCTTCACCAATCCATGGCTGTTTCAAGAGGTCAAGAAAGAATCTACAAAGGAAGCTGAATATGAAGAAGTAAGTCCATGGCATTGTGCATTTGATGCATATCCTGTGGGTCATGTCCCAGATGTGTCAACCCCAGTACTGACAAGAAACCTTCCACAGGGTCTTAGTTTTCTAGTTTTTTTTTTTTTTTTTTTTTTTTTTACTAAAAGAAAATTGCACATAACTCTAACTAGTCATTGTGGTGTGAAAGGCTAATGGAAAGTTATGCGAGAATGTTGTTCCAGGAAGAAACACAATCTACTCATCTGATGATTCTAGACTCCTCTCTCTTGACCTGCCTGAATAGAAATGATTACAGAATGATTACATGAATGTGTTTCTAAAATGAACTGATGATCATTGCATGTTTTGTTTGTCACTGGTTGTATATATCCCTTCAATATCATCTATTTTCCCTTGTCATACTTTTCCATACCTCATATAATTTATCCTGTAGGTTTCAGCAGCATCTGAAGAGGAAAATCAAGCTCAGGGTGACCTTTCCGACAGTGAAAATGCTTGTCTCTCTTCTTCATCATCAGTCAGTTTGAAGAGTCAGTCAGACTCAGAATTCCACCAACAACCAACAAAGGCATCTCAAAATGTCTTTGATTTCAGTCAGGTGTCTATTGTGAGATTTTCGTCAGGTGAAAATTCCGTTGTTTCGTCAGCAGTTGAACCTGGACACACAGTACCCGACCTACTGCAACACACTTCACCAATGAGTCAAGAGGAAGAAAATCTACTCAAAGAACCAAAATATCAAGGTGGAGATTCTATGCGTCTTGATCAAGTGTCGCCTGTATATGAAAAAAGTGATTTAGAAAGCAATGAAAAATCGTTAGTGGCACAACTATTTGAACCTAATACAACTTCAAACACCATACAGTATTCTTCATACCATGAAAGCAAACCATGTGAAGTTGATAGATTGGTTCCTGACAGCAACCAAGTACTAGGCCAAAATATTAGTCCTTCACTTTCCCCTCATGCTTCTGTGAGGGAGGCTGATGAAACTCTCTCACACAGTGTTGAAGTGAATCCAGGGCTTTCAAGAGTGACTCCAGATCTCATTAAGGGCCCTCCAGAATCAGATCAGGTCTTTCTTACCCCAGAAAAGCTTAGTGATTTGGATCCAGTTGCTATATTGCAAAGCCGTAAGGTAGTAGATCAAAATTTAGTTGAATCTTCTCCTACAATTGACTCTACATCACTGCAGTCACCTACTTATCATGAGATCACAATTTTAAATCAAGGACAATCTGATACAAGCAGCTCCCCAGAGCAACCTTTGGAGCCTGAAGTTGATCCTAGGGTAGAACCACAAACTGATTCCTGTGAACAGGAACCATATCTACAACTTTTAGAATCTCAAAAGCAAAAGCCTGATGCGTTAAAAGTAAATACACAATTGGATTTAACAATTGAACCCCTCATAAATGAGAGTTATGAGACTGAGACTGACCCAGACATGTGGATTCCAAGGGAAACTGCAGAGCTGAGTGAAATTTCTCCTTTTTGTGGCTCTGACCTCAGTCCACAAACACCAGAAACAGTCATAGCTTGTCAACATTTTGATTTCAGGGAAAAGTCTTCTGAACTTGGATCAGCAACTACTAAGAAATCTGTTTCACAGGAGGCAGTGGTGTCCAATGATTTAAAACGGCCGCAGTCTGAATTGTTAATCTCTGGTGCAGCTCAACAGTCAGAAGAAAAGCATATTGACCGCTGTCTTTCTGAGTCCTCTGAACCCTTGGTACTTACTCTGAACATGAATACAGCAGTTGAGAAACCTGTTTCCCTGGAGGCAGAACTAGCTTTACTTCCATCCAAGGATGGCAGTGAAAACACCTTACCTTCCAAAGATTTCAATAGGCTACTGTCAGAAACAGTCATAACTTCTCAACAGTTTGACTTCAAGGAGAAGTCTTCTCAACTTGGATCAGCAACTATTAAGAAACCTGTTTCACAGGAGGCAGTGGTGTCCAAAGGTTTAAAACGGCTGCAGTCTGAATCATCAATCTCTGGTGCACCCCAACAGTCAGAAGAAAAGCATATTGACCGCTGCCTTTCTGACTCCTCTGAACCCTTGGTACTCACTCTGAACATGAATCCAGCAGTTGAGAAACCTGTTTCCCAGGAGGCAGTACTACCTTTACCACTCTCTCAGGATGGCAGTGACAAGGCCTTACCTTCCAAAGATCCCAAAAGGCTAGTGTCAGAAACAGTCATAACTTCTCAAGATTTTGACTTCAGGGAGAAGTCTTCTGAATTTGGGTCAGAAACTACTAAGAAATCTGTTTCACAGGAGGCAGTGGTGTCCAAAGGTTTAAAACGGCCGCTGTCTGAATCATTCATCTCTGGTGAAACCCAACAGTTAGAAGAAAAGTGCATTGATCGCTGTCTTTCTGACTCCACTGAACCCTTGGTACTAACTCTGAACATGAATCAAGCAGTTGAGAAACCTGTTTCCCAAGAGGCAGTACTACCTTTAGCGCTCTCTCAGGATGGCAGTGACAAGGCCTTACCTTCCAAAGATCCCAAAAGGCTAGTGTCAGAAACAGACATAACTTCTCAAGATTTTGACTTCAGGGAGAAGTCTTCTGAATTTGGATCAGAAACTACTAAGAAATCTGTTTCACAGGAGGCAGTGGTGTCCAAAGGTTTAAAACGGCCGCTGTCTGAATCATTCATCTCTGGTGCAACCCAACAGTCAGAAGAAAAGCATATTGACCGCTGTCTTTCTGACTCTTCTGAACCCTTGGTACTTACTCTGAACATGAATCAAGCAGTTGAGAAACCTGTTTCCCAAGAGGCAGTACTAAACTTACCGCTCTCTCAGGATGGCAGTAACAAGGCCTTACCTTCCAAAGATTCCAAACAGCTACTGTCAGAAACAGTCATAACTTCTCAAGATTTTGACTTCAGGGAGCAGTCTTCAGAACTTGGATCAGCAACTTTTAAGAAATCTGTTTCACAAGAGACAGTGGTGTCCAAAGGTTTAAAACGGCTGCAGTCTGAATCATCAATCTCTGGTGCAACCCAACAGTCAGAAGAAAAGCATATTAACCGCTGCCTTTCTGACTCCTCTGAACCCTTGGTACTTACTCTGAACATCAATACAGCAGTTGAGAAACCTGTTTCCCAGGAGGCAGTACTAACTTTACCGCTCTCTCAGGATGGCAGTGACAAGGCCTTACCTTCCAAAGTTTCCAAACGACTACCGTCAGAAACAGTCATAGCTTGTCAGCAATTTGACTTCAGGGAAAAGTCTTCTGAGCTTGGATCAACAACTACTAAGAAACCTGTTTCACATGAGACAGTGGTTTCCAAAGGTTTAAAACGTCTGCAGTCTGAATCATCAATCTCTGGTGCAACCCAACAGTCAGAAGAAAAGCGTGTTGACCGCTGTCTTTCCGAGTCGTCTGAACCCTTGGTACTTACTCTGAACATGAATCAAGGAGTTGAGAAACCTGTTTCCCAGGAGGCAGTACTAGCTTTACCGCTCTCTCAGGATGGCAGTGACAAGGCCTTACCTTCCACAGATCCCAAAAGCCAATTGTCAGACTCTGTTATGTCTTGTGCAATATCCCAACAATCAGAGGAAAAACATTCTGACTGTTATTTCTCTGACTCTTCTGAATCCTTGGTGTTTGACATGAATTCGGTGCATGAAGAACTTGAAAAAACAGTTCAACCAGAACAGCCATTATCTAATCACCTTGAGGTGAGTGGTTCGTTAGTTATTGGTGTTTCCCAAGACACATTTACAGGCGACCTACAATCAATGGTTGAAAAAACAATAATGGAGTCACCTACATCTCAAACTGATCTGAGTGAACATAAGGAATTAGAAGATACTGATGTGTCAAAACCTGTAAACACTGAAAAACCAAAACCCAAAGATTTACTAAGCATTGATCAACAACATGATGAGTCTGATCTTGAGACTTTTTTCGACTGCAGACAGACCATTTCAGATTATTCTGAAGCAGAAGACGACAAACCCTTAAAAGGCGCAATGGGACTTAGTAATAAAGTCTTAAGCTCAACTATTCATGAACTACAACAACAACCAAATGTCAGAAGTGCCTCAGCACTACCATCCCATGAGAGCCCTCGTTGGTCAATCAGGTCATCAGACAGTGACGAGGATTTTGAGGATTCTCTCATCATCAGAGAACCCAATGATGATGCAGAGGAGAAATACTTTTTAAGCCACAAAAGTCTTGAATCTTCTGCACAGTTTCCTCAGGAGCTTCCTCATCGAAGAGGGGCTGAGTATAATGATGATGATGATGATCTGAGGAGGGTAAGCATCCTCAGCATGACCTCCCTCAACCCATCCCCCCCACCCCCCTCCGGTCTACCCTAATCCATTTCCTGCTGAATGAGTTTGCTGAAAGGATGGTGTTTGGTTTCACTAATTAGGATGATTTTAAAACCTTAAAAACGTGATTTTACTCAAACAAATTAAAAAAAAACATGATCATGTCACATTCATACCTTAACACCATCATAATCACTGTCTGCTTGTTCAGATAGTGCTGATGCATGTACTACATTTATGACATTGTAATGTCATATACTAAATATGCAGGATTTTGCAAGCAAGTAATAACTATATCTTAATATACATAACAATTAAGAGTATTTTCCATAGATATGAACAACTAAGCAATGGATTGCTGGATTTGAAGTGACTTGCTTACTAGCTAATTGTTTCATACAAGTCTATTTAAAAATGGTGCATGTTGTGTCAAGTTAAGAATGTTTTGTTGTCCCTTGTCTTGTTTTCTGTAAAAAAAAGGCAGATTCTAATAATGTTTAGTCTAATGCTATTTTAGCAGAGGGGGCAGCATTACATTGTGTTTATACAAACTTATTTATGTTTTATATATATATCATTTTAATCTTATATTAATGCGTGATTTTACATACACGCTGTTGGTTAGGATATTGATGATGCATTAGGTGTGCTGTCGGATAGCTCTGATGAGGATGTGCTGACCACCAGAGTGGTGCGAAGAAGAGTAATTATTCAGGTACATCTGTGAATGAGAATTGCCTGGTTTATTTTTGAGGTTCAGTGTGAAAGCAGAGTTTCTTAAAGGAGTAGTTCACTTTAAAAAAAAAAAAAATTGCTGATAATTTACTCACCCCCATGTCATCCAAGATGTCCATGTCATTCTTTCTTCAGTCGAAAAGAAATTAAGGTTTTTGATAAAAAACATTCCAGGATTTTCTCCATATAATGGACTTCAATGGGAACCAAACGGTTCAAGGTCCAAATGAGAATTTCAGTGCTGCTTTAAAGGGCTTTAAACGACACCAGACGATGAATAAGGGTTTTATCAAGCGAAACGATCGCTTTTAATAAAATAAATAACAAAATTTTAAGTTTTATAAGCTCAAATGCTCGCCTTGCTCTGTTCTGTGATGAGCATTTGTGACTCTCCTGTTCGAACTCGTTCATCAAAATGAACAAATCTTTTTTCAAGTCATGACTCGAAGGGTCCTATAGATAAGACTCTTATTCATCGTCTGGTGTCGTTTAAAGCCCTTTGAAGCTGCACTGAAACTCTCATTTGGACCTTGAAACGTTTGGTTCCCATTGAAGTCCATTATATGGAGAAAATCCTGGAATGTTTTCATCAAAAACCTTAATTTCTTTTCGACTGAAGAAAGAAAAACATGGACATCTTGGATGACATGGGGGGAGAGTAAATTATCAGCAAAAGTTTTTTTAAAATTGAACTACTCCTTTAACTCACACTTGGTGTGCAACTTTGGGTGCCAAACTGTTGTGTGATAGTTTTACATACTGCTCTAAGATTTATTTTCTGAAACTGACACGATTTTAAATCCTGCATTTTCAGCTGTGACTTAACCTCCCTGCTCCTCAATTGCTGGTAGAAGTTGTCCATTTAAAACTACTCCAGGAATATAGTATTTGGGAAAGCATACCAGGCTATTAGTTGACTCTTGATCATCATAAAATGGACAACTTCTACAAGATGTGTTCTTCTTTCTATATTGGATGAATATTTTCAGCATTATTTCTTTTTTATTCCTCTTTTGCTAACCCTAACCTTTACCCAAGCCAGGGCAGCTGTTTCCTTTTATGGCGAACACTGCTTTAGCAGATGATGTATTAATTGTGTGTCTGGTTTCTTCTACAGGGCGATAATGTTCCAGACATTCCTCCACAGTCGGTAACAGAAGAGCAATACACAGATGCACAGGGAAACTTGGTTGTGAAGAAGGTAAACATCCAAGATCTGCAATATCCATCCATCAGTCATCTACTACCTATTCATCCTCTTCCATATGTCCTCTTCCATTTTTATTTAACTTTTATTCACTTACATGTTTCTGTTTTCAGGAGAAGAGCAAGGATTTATGTTAAATGCATCATTTCCATTCAAATGTGTTTATTACCCGCTCAGGTGACCAGGAAGGTCATTCGACGGTGTGTGTCATCTGATGGGGTGGAGACAGAGCAGGTAAGGGTGGAGGGCTCCACCCAACAGCCTGTCAATGTGGCGCTGGGGGACGGATATTCGAAAGTAAGGAAGAGGACAGTACTGAAGAGCGAAGGACATCAGACAGAGGTGTGTGACTCTGCCACTAATCATTAAAATAAAATAAAAGGCATACTTAACCTAAATGAAAGTAATTCTGATTACAATTAAGTTGATTTAGTTAATTTAATCAATTATTGCCATTTAAAGAGATCTGCTGTAGAGGTGTCTTTTGTTTAATTTCAGGTTACTTTCCATGAGCAAGACAACATGTCAGCTTCGGGGGAGTCTGTTGTAGGTCAAGAGGTCAGACAGGTGGTCCAAACCACAGTGGTACATGGAGAACAGCTGGAAAAGCATGAGGGGGATCCTTTCCTCGCCACAGACCTGCCCTCTGCACGGGATGACTTCACCCAGGTGAGCTGCTAAAGACAGCTGTCATTCCTGACATCTTTACAACATCAGATTTTTATGCTTGGCATTATTTTAAGGGAAGGATTCCAAACTTACACTGTCTCAAAAGTTTTTTTTTTTTTTTTTTGTTAGCTTATGTATGTATACTTTTTATTTTAAATCTAACTGACATACATTTAATTTGTTATTTTTATAAAATCAATCAAATTTTGTGTAAAAATGTGTTGGCTTTTGACAATGAATAATAATAATAATAATGAGCAATGATATAAAAATGTATTTTACTGCAGATACATTATTCCTTGCAATTGTAGGTCATCCGGGTACTCCATGCATACAGATTCACACACTGTACTGTTGTAAATACTGCAGAAATAATTCTGTTAAAATGTCATTTTGGACTATGCCATGAACATCTAAAGCATTACAGTCCAACACACCCAAATAGTTTGTCCATCTTGTTTCTTCCTCATCAGGGTTCATTTAGTGTTAATGTAGTGTGTGCCTCATTCCCTCAGGCTCTAAGCTACTTTGGAGGTTTTAGGAAGGTGCAGATCCCTCGAGTGGTAGAGCAGGAAATACTGCAGCCTGATGGATCTGTGATCAGGAGGTTTGAGAGACGGGCATGGCGTTTGTGTTCATATTAGTGTGAAAGTGTGGGGGGAAACCCGGGGGGGCTAAGTTTAAATAGTGTAACCTTTATCTACACTATCTACACAAGTTTGGTGTCAGCAAAATATTTGAATTGTTTTTGAAATAAGTCTCTTATCAATGCATTTATTTGATCAAAAATGCAGTAAAACAAATATTATGTATTATATATCTATATTTTCTATTTTAATATATATATTTTTTAATTTTACTTATTTTATTGCTTTGATAAATGTTTTGAGGATTCATTGATGAATAGAAAGTTAAAAAGAACAACATTTAGTTGTAATGTGAAATTTAAAGCAGCACTATGTTTCAACCTTTATAATATTTTCCCAAAACCCTTGAGATGGTACATATACTTACAATAGGTTGAATGACAGGACTGCCATAGCAGTGTCTGTATCGCTGTTACTGGCACTCTGTAACTTCAGGGAGCGGGTAGGAACCAGACCACAAAAAGTTCACAACTGTTCACAACTGAACTACAAAATTCGACTGCTTTACAGCGTACATCGCTTCCCCCAATTCCTCAAATTCCGACGCGAAAGCCCAATGAGCGTTTCTTTTTTTTTTTTTTTTTACCTCTGTATGTTGTCATGGCTGAAGCAGCAAGTAAAGCCAAATGTGAAGTGCGTCAGAAACAGAGCGCGCGGGCGATCAGTTTACTGTTGGTAATATGTTATGAAGCTTCGCCCCTCGCCGCATCCAATGGGCGCTTAAGACACTCAAGCCTCCCGTAGAGCCGGAGCGGGTAGACGTGAAAGTATACTGATTACTGAGTTTGGTAGGGGCTACATTCTTGCAAGTAAATAATACACGATTAGACGAACAAAATAATCGGTCAGGATGACTATTCTATGTCTGCAGGCTGATAGTCATGTTTGTTACTTATTTTTCAGGTGAAAGTGTCTTGCCTCAGGCTATAACGTTAATGCAAATCGATTTTTCAAATTTGCAGATTCATCTATGGTAGCTTGATATTATAATATTGACGACATGGCTATTATCTACCAACAAACATTGAATTGAATTAGCATATCCATTATGTAAAACAGTATCCAATAGGCTAACGTTACTATAAAGACCCTGGCTTGAATGTGAGCTACGCGATCTTTTGACGTTTGAAAAAAATAAAGCCCATGAAACTATGAAATATATGCCAATGTACCTGGGATGAAGACATTTCACACGAAACACTGGAGTCTTCCCAAGATGTGAGAACTCCTTAATTCCTTCTGCAGATTTCGGCGGTATCGCTTGTCAACAAATGCACGCGTGTATTCCCTGGTGTAACCATGACAGATTTTACGACAGTAGTAGAAGACAATACTGTTTCCCAACTGTAGGGGGACCCCGAGAGCAAAATTTAAAAAGTCTTTAGTCACTTTTGATCAACTAAATCCATTCTTGCTTAATAAAAGCAACAATTTTACTGACCTCGAACTTTTTAACAGTAGTGCATTGTAATGTTCATGCAAATGTTCAATAGACACAGGGTTAAGAAATTCTTTATTTGCCGCCGCCATTGTGTGTATATTTGTTAACAAAGCATGTCTTTACATGTCTTTAGTTCTCTAATAAAATGTTTTACCCTGACTTTACACAAAAATACTAAGGGATTTCCATGTTTTTCCACTTGGAACCTTTAATAAGGACCTAAAACACCAATTTCTGCACTGTAAGACCCTGATTGGTCTTTCTTTCTCATTTACAGGACAAGGATGCAGAAGTCTAGGACCCAAAGGAGGTCAGTAGTGAGGGATGCTGGGGGACAGAAGCGTGTGTGTGTGGACCAGATAGACGATCGATCTGAGCCACATGACAACCTACAGCATCACCTCCATCACCTCATTCACCACTACTGTGCCCAAAATGACTGAGAGGAAGAGAGGGAGGAAGCTGAAGAGAAGTCAGAGTGATGGTTTCCCTACCTTCATTTTCCTCTCCCAATCTCCATCGCTCCTCTCTTTGAGCCTGTCCGCCCTCCTAACCACTCCTATGCACCACGCTCATGCAATCCCAGAGTGCACTTCACTCCTGCCGCTTCCAGTCTTCCTGTCCAGTCAAACTGGATGTTTGCCCAGTTTAAGTCAACGGACAATATTTTCTCGCTCCTTATTTTCCCCAGTCCACCATGAGTGTTTATCTGTTTGTCTTCCATTGTGACCAAAGGGTGTTCTTTCCTTTCCTTTCCTTTGCTTTTTAAACCCCTCAGTTATGAAATAATGAATACAAATACACTCACGCACAAAAAAAGAAGAAAGGAAATCACAATAACCAAAATGTTTTTATCAAAACAGAAAAAAAAAGTCCTGGTCGTTCATTCTCGGAACATTTTAAGCTCGAACTAACTGAACCTGTGCTGCACTGCCTACCACGACTATTGAATATCATTGCATTCTATCGCCACATCATGACATGCTGTTTTAATCTCAACGGTTGAGATGTCTGAAAACTTCTTGCCTTCTTTATCAGCTGTTGGGGTATTTGTGTGTCTGTGTATTCTGTCCATGGAGAGTATATATAATATGCATTTTTAAAATGACAGTAGATCACATTAGCCACCTGTAAGGATATTAGCGCAGGCATGCTTAGCTAGCAGCAGACACTTACTGTATTAATAACACTCTTTCTATGGTTAGATGACTGTCATTTTTCAGCCTCACCCCTCTCTTTGTGTCTGTGATCTGTAGCAATTCTAGTCATCCTCATCATCACTGGAGTTTAAACATTTCAGTACAGCTTTTTGTTATTATAGATCACATCAACACACGTTTTTTTTGGTTTTAAACTTACTTTGACAAGCGTTTCAAGAGGGACTCAGAAAGCAAAGGTGGAATCAATTTTAAATGATCAGTTAAATGTTACACATATGATTCTATTTTTTAAACTTTCCATCTGAATTTATTCTTATCTTTGAGCGTGTGCGGTTGAGTGTGCGTGAAAACCGAAATGTGGTATTTTATTCATTTTTTTCTGTATATAATACTCAATATCAGTATGTGTTAGGGAATCTCTGAGGTATTTATCTTATTGGTTTCAGAAGAGCATAATGGATGTATGTTTTCAAAAAGAATGTTTTATTTTGATGTATTACATTTATATACTTTGTGCGTCATGAAACCGGTCCAAACGAGTGAATATTTCTTTTGATTCACCAAATCACAGGTTAGCTTTAGTCGAGACCACTGGGAAGAAGAGTGTACCATGAGATGTTCTTATTACTTTTCCTTTTTAACTGCAGATTAATACAGCTGTGTTAGCAGAGGTTGTTTTTAAAGCTGATCTGAGGCCAGCTGTGCTTTGTTCCCCTTATAATGATTTGGGTTTTGGAAACTGGCCCTGGAACAGCATTAAAAGTCATCCTCTCATTAAAGGGATAGTTCACTTTGAAATTAATTGTTGATATGTTTTAGCTTACCTCAAGGGCATCCAAGATGTAGGTGTCTTTGTTTCCACAGCATTTTCAATTTTGAAATTTTTTGGTCAAACCGTTGTTGTCTGTCAGTCATCATGTAATGCAGGTCTATGGAGCCCACCTCAAAGAGCATCCACAGAGAAGTCAAAATTAAACATGATTTAATGACTTGTTGACGGCCTAAGACACGAAACGAGCGGTTTGTGTGAGAAAACGAACAGTATTTATATAGTTTTTACCTCTTGTTAACAGCCGTCGAACGGATCTGAATCAGATGTCCAACTGAACTGAACTGAACTGAACCGTCTCCAACGTGACGGCGGAAGTGATCACGTGCGTATGTACGTCACGCATTGTTTACACTGAGATTTCGGTTTTATCTTTCACTAAACATATTTAGATATACAGGAAATCGCAATGGAAGACGATTTCGATATATCTAAATATGTTTAGTGAAACCATCAACAAGTAGGCCATCAACAAGTCAATAAATCATGTTTAATTTTGACTTCTCTGCGCATGCTCTTTGAGGTGGGCTCCGGTTTGACCAAAAAAATGTCAAAATTGAAAATGCTGTGGAAACAAAGACACCTACATCTTGGATGCCCTTGAGGTAAGCTAAAACATATCAAAAATTAATTTCAAAGTGAACTATCCCTTTAAAGTTGAACACTGCTACTACTTTCACTGTGACTGGCCCACTTTTAATTTTCTGAATCCGCATTCTATGTCTGTGGAGATAAAAAAAATATGCATATATATATGGTACATAAATATCTATCCTAAAAGGCATGTATTAGTTTACTATATGACTTTTAAAAAAGACATTTAAACACTATACCATGGCTGCAGTGTGTGTGTATATGGCTGAAAGAGAATAAAAGTGTACAAGTGTCATAATCTTGGTTATTTTCTGGTTGTGTGTGGAGAGAAAGCTGACACGTGACATCAAACGTACAGTACATATCACATCTTTATTGTAGTTTTCATTAAATATGTTGATTTGCTAGCGCCACCATGGCAACAAATTATGTAGTTCACATCCTCATATTGGCGTTGAGGTTCTGTAAGTATCAGCAGAGGAAATGTCTTTAAGAAGAGAAAAAGGAGCATGGATAAAAATGGAAATTATGGTGTTGGCATAGTCCAGTTAGTGGTGAGGTTTTTCCTCAAGGAAGACCGTTCCATTCCGACATCACCCTCTATGACATCATCTTCTGATTGAGTGGCTCAAAGACACAAAGTCGCCACTAAGGGCAGTGTGCATGCTTGTAAATCAGGCTCAGCTCACTTTCGCTGCTCTTGCTATGGGCGAAAATAATGTCGGGATAAATAAAAATCACAAATGTGTGAAAACGATGCATGATTTCTCATAAGCTACTTATATTTATTTTTTCTCATACAGCCATGATATAAAGTCAAAGGATATAAAGTCATATTTTCACAGCCACTCAGTATAGGAAAATTTAAGCTACATAGATCTGAAGGAAGGGTGATACTTCTAGATATGTTGGTTCATGATGATGATGGTATTCACTATCATTATTACTGTATCAAATCTTGATGATATTCATAGAAATAAAACACAATTTGATAAGGAAACCATAAATTACACAACATAAACTAAGAAAAAATACAGCATGGTCATTAAAATAAAAAAAATAGTCCTCCATGCATTTGTCCAATGCTTGTCAGTTTGATGTTTCATATATGCTACATTCTCATTGATATCATTTTTTTTCTCATATTCTATGACATAAAGATAAACATACAGTCCATATTAGTATTCTGCAGTTCTCTTAAATCAAGTAAAGTAATTCAGAATCTTTAAGGAGCCAAACATTGTAAGCTAGCGAATATAAACAAAGCTTTTTGACAGCGGGTACTAAAATCTTTTAATTTTGCTGTAAGCCAGAATTTAATGTACGTATTTTTAAAAGAGATTTTTTATTTTATCATTTTTTTATCTGAACGATCACGACATATGTACATCACCAGAACAATAGCAAGCTCAATATTAACATTCTTATCTTTCAAAATTTGATATATTGCACACACATAAATAGACGTAAAAATACAGTACAGACTTGGGGAAAGGTGATTCTCTTTACATATCTATACATTTAAAATGCATACCAAAACAGCTTAAAAAAAGAAACAGAAAATAAAATGTTAAAAATACACTCCTTTTAATAATGTCCATATATGCGAATGGCCCATGGGTTTTGGTGTAGGTGACGACCTTTAGCAAAATGCTTGAACTCTCTGGTCCATGTGTGATAACATGTAAACGACCCTCAAGGGGGAGGGGGTAGAGGAGGGGGAGGGGCGTGGTTGTTGGGAAGGAGGTGTGGCTTAGGAGACACACCTCCAGTTTGACTGACAGATGGTTGGGTTTTTGCTGATGGTTTCTCCTCAGTTGGGAAATATTGAAGCTTAATATGCCATTAACTACAAAAATACACACAGACAAACACACATCAGCAAAACCTAGAAATAAGCATAACATTAAATTAGTATGATCAAATTCAACTAAATTATAAATTCATGTTTTTCACTGATATATTTTCATGTAGCTTAATAATAACAGGTCATTACTTCCGCATTTGTGTCTCGATTATACTGGCATTCAAAAGTATGAGGTCGGTAAGATTGTATCTTTTAAAGGAAGTTTCTTCAGCTCACCCAGACTGCATATTTTTTCAAAAATACGGTGAAAACAGAAATATCGTGAAATATTAATTTAAAATAACTTTCATAATTTAATGTATTTTAAAATGTCATTTATTCCTGTGATGGCAAAGCTGAATGTTCAGATGTCATTAATCCAACATCACATGATCCTACAGAAATCATTCTAATATACTGATTTGGTGCTCAAGAAACAATTCTTAATATTATCAATGTTGAAAACAGTAGTGCTGCTTAATAATTTGTGGAAAACGTTCAAAATAAAGCATTTATTTAAAATGACTGCTGTCAAATAGATTCATCTCGATTAATCGCATCTAAAATAAGTTTGTAAATTTTATACATGCAGTAAAGGGTTTTTTGAAATTTCCTTCTAAAATGATCATTTTTATCAAGCTTATATATTTAAGTTCAGTAATTTCACTTAAATGACAATGAAGATTACCTATGAATTGCCATTTAAGTGAAATTACTGAACTTAAATGTACAAGCTTGATAAAAATTATCATTCTAGAAGAAAATTTCAGATGGCACTTAGAGGCTTTTGCATCTGAACTCTTCATATATATATATTGTAGATGCGATTAATCGCAATTAATCGATTTGACAGCACTATTCAAAATAGAAGTCTTTTTTAACATTATGAATGTCTTTACTGTTACTTACAAATGGTATAATTAACTAAATTAGAATGACCCCTTTGCAATCAATATCATTATCATCTAAACTAAACAGTAGAAATGCTCTAAGAGTCTTACTTGATGGGGACACTTGGGGCTCCAGAGCGATGGAAGTGTATGTTCAGCCACTTGCCATCTCGACGGTGCCAGACGCGGGTCTCCTCTGACTGCATGGTGCGGGGCATCCCGCTGACATCCATGTACTGGGTCAGACGGATGTATGCGATACACGCCGCGTCCTCCCCGATCAGGTGCACATGGGGGTTCAGCAGGATAGTGTGTACAGGCTTATTACCTTTAGACAGAGCTAGAGGATATTACGGTGATCAAATTACTGATGTAAAAATTCAAGGTATTGTTTGCAAGTGTGTAAAGATATTAGTCTAAATACCATTCTCAAAGTAGAACCTGTGGAAGTCATGTCCCTCCACCAGGTTTCCCAAAGCTTCTGGCTCAAAGGAAGTAAGACCAGGATCGCAAATCTTTCTGTGAGAAAGAGAGCAGAAAGTAAAGCTAAAAGTCTCAATTTGTGGGCACAAATTGGTACTAAAGTACCTGGAACGTTACAATTCAAGTCTGTGAAGAATAAATGTGAATGTATGTAGTCGCTGATATCATCTAAATTTCCTTTTGATCTCCAATCTGCCAATCAAAAGCTGTAATTAAAGGGATAGTTCACCCAAAAATTAAAATTAAGTCATTAATTACTCACCCGAATGGTGTGCCAACCCTTATAAGATCTTTGTTCATCTTCAGAACACAAATGAAGATATATTTGATTAAATTTGAGAGCTAGATCACTCCTCCATAGGCTTCATGGGATTGAAACTTGACGGCCCAGAAGGAAAATGTTTAAATATTCCATGTGACTCAACTAAGTTTATCAAGCAACGAGAAATAAAAAATAAAAAAATATCTTCATTTGTGTACCGAAGATGCAAAAAGGTCGTACGGGGTTGGTACAGCATGGGGGTGACGGGTGAGTAATTAATGACTTAATTTTCATTTTTGGGTGAACTATCCCTTTAAGTGAGGCTTGGTTCTAATTGTTGACGGAGCACCGGTTTTGCAAAGGTGACCATTAAATATGATTGCAGTTTTTAAGAGAAAATAAAGCAATGCATTGGTGTTCTTAAGGGTTTGTGTGTTCACTCACGCGTAAGCCTCAAAGTCGCCATTGTTGATGGATTCAATCAGCTGTTCGGTCACCTTTATGATCTCCTGCTTTCGAGCTGAAACACACAGAAATGTCTAGCGTGTGAGTCGGACATGCTCACGGCACAAAACTACATTATTAAATCAACATCTCAATTTACACTGAATTTATGCAATCCACAAAATGCAAACCTTTGTTTAGAAAGCACCAGAAACAAATTTACAGTGAACCTTTATAGCTTCTGTCTTTTCAGTTATTAGTTGGCTTCAGGGCTGGGCGATATATCGAATATTTGCAATGAATTATACTGGATATCGTAATGAGTTTAATATGCTTTTTATTTGGGCATTAAAAAGATGATGTGATTAGACACATTTCACAATTCTTTTTTGCCTAACAATTCATGAATATGAGACGTAACACAATGTTGATTTTGATAAGTTTGATTTATGATCACTCAGACATGTTCATGAGGGTTCTTCATTGCATTGATGATG